AAGGTCCATAAATAGCAACACCCTAGTGGTCCCGGGCCCTAAGGAAGTTAGATTGGCTTCAACCAGAGCCAGGGCCTTTTCAGCACTGGCCCCGGCCTGGTGGAACGCTCTGCCTCCTGAGACCAGGGCCCTGCGGGATCTGATTTCTTTCCGCAGGGCCTGGAAAACAGAGTTGTTCCGCCTGGCCTTTGGCTTGGAGCCAATTTGATTCCCTCCCTCCCTCTCTTTCTTTTTTCTTTTCCTTCTCCTCCTGCGATGAGGCTACATTTTAATATTTTAATGTTCCATTATTTTAATGTTGTATTTTATTTTTGTTTTTAAGTTGTAATCATTCATCTTGTTTTTATTATTGCTTGTAAGCCGCTCTGAGCCCGGCCTTGGCTGGGGAGGGCGGGGTATAAATAAAAAATTATTATTATTATTATTATTATTATTATTATTATTATTATTATTATTATTCTGTGGAGTCCAGCAGAGTTCCCTTTTTAACATGTACATGAAATCGCTGTGGGAATTTCAGAGGTGCTCAGCTAACTCACAGCCTGGGCTTAGACAAGCCTCTTTTTTCTCAGAGTCCCTGCCTCCTTTGCATCTGCTCTGCATTTGTTTAGGGAAGCTTTTAATGTTTGATGTATTACTGTATTTTAATATTTGGTTGGGAGCCGCCCAGAGTGGCTGGGGAAGCCCAGCCATATGGGCGGGGTATAAATAAATTATTATTATTATTATTATTATTATTATTATTATTATTTGCATCTGCAGTGTGAGGATGACAATACTGGCTTCCTTTATATCTCTGGCTGTAACTGCACTGAATATTAGATTTCTGTTATGTAGTATAGATCCATTGCATCTCTGTCTTGCTAAGCAACTCTTCTTGGAGACCTGATTCTTGTTGATTTTCCAGATCGTGTGTTGAGTGCCGTTACTTTCAGAGTGGTCCATTTCAGAAGAATTGCTCTCAAGCTTGTTCACACATTATTCTGAGAGATAATGTGATGTCCAGAAGTAAAGAATGCAAGGAGAAAGATTCTCAGAATTGCTGGATCTCCTTCTCTATGTTTCAGTTGGATGGAGAGGAGAGATACTCCGTTAAAGTGGAACCTTTAAAAGGTATGTGAGGGAAGGAGCCACCAGCTGCAACACCAGTTCCATGTTCTGGTCCCAGCACCTAGCACCAGGGCTCAGTGGCTTAATAACAATAAATGTTTTGTACCCCACCCATCTGACTGGGTTGCCCCAGCCTCTCTGGGTGGCTTCCAGCAGAATACACAAAACCATCACACATTCAAAGCTTCCCAAAACAGGGCTGCCTTCAGATGTCAATCGAAGATCATATAATTGTTTGTTTCCTTGACATCTGAAGGGAGGGCATTCCACAGGGCAGACATCACTCTGTCTGGTTCCCTGTAATCTCACTTCTCGCAATAAAGGAACTGCCGGAAGGCCCTTGAAGCCGAGAGATGCTCCTTCAGGTATTCAGGGCCAAAGCCATTTAGGGCTTTAAAGGTCAACACCAAAACTTTGAATTGATACATGAGAGAATCACCAATTTCCCCCATATAGTCCCATTGTGAGGGGTGGGGTACTGGAACAGGAAGAGAGACTGGATGTCAGGTCTGCGTCCCCCAAGGCTTCAGAGGGAGATGGCCCTCCAAATTGTGAGGTGTGGCAGATGGAGGGGCCCCTGGGAGTGGCTTCCTTTCCAAGCTCTCTTGAGTGCAGGTGGGGACCTAGCTCCAGGTAAGAGGCTAAGGAAGCAGAGTGGAGGCCACATAGCCAGGTGAGCAAGGCTCCTCCAGTGGGAAGTATATGTGGCCTTAAGAGAGTTCCTTGCAATTTATCTGGAGCAGTTTCAGTAGTCTTTTGCATGGTGGAGAGACAGAGATACTTGATGTGGAGCTGCCCCATTCACTGACTCGACTTCCAACCTTTCCTGGATCTCTGGTATGCTCATTCCTGGCCTACAGCACATGCACCCTTTCCCTCCTCCTTCAGATGAGCACCTTCTCCGTTGTTTTTCCTTTTCATAGATTGCCCAGAACCCCCTAATGTTGCAGCCATTGTGGGGGGCACCGTTGCTGGCGTGGCTCTTATCGGCCTCCTCCTCCTCCTGATTTGGAAGCTGGTAACGGAGCTGATTGATCGCAAGGAATATCACCGATTTGAGAAAGAGAAGTCCAAGGCTAAGTGGAACGATGTAAGACACTCCCCTTTCAGCAGGAGGGGCTGGAAGAAGACTTGCTAAGGCATTGGCTCTTCCCCCCTTCTTCCGAGTTCTTGAGAAACGTCAGGGACATAACTTTTGTTTCAGTTCCAGTACCTCAGGCAGGCCTGAATTCAGCTGCTCAGGCATGAGAAGCTAAGCTTCTCACATTAGCACACACAGGCTACGTTTACACTGTGACCTAACTGCCTGAAATAAATAGTGTGTGTTCTGCAGGCGAGAACCTCTTGTAGATACCATCTTATCAGAAGGTCCATTCTGCACTGTGTAGGAATTAGGCCTTTAGTGTTGTGACACCTGCCCTCTGGAAACTAGCCCCTTGAATACTCAACAGACTGTTGTATTTTGGGTGGCTAATGAAGACCTTCTCCTTTCAACAAGGCTTTTAAGCTGAGATCTTTCCCATTATGCATCTGCACTGGAATTGTTTTTAAGATGTTTGTTTGTTTGCTGTCCTGCGCTTATTTGGGGGGAAGGGTACGGCACAATCATAATAATTGCTAGTATTATTATTACACAATTATTTTGTGGAGGGAGATGTGCCTTCAGAAAGATTCAGAGATGCAGTAACCACTGATGGGGTCCTATTTATGTTAAGAGTGGCATGGTCGGGTTGCTCCTCTGCATTTCAGCCACACAGGGAGTTGTGGTTTGCTACTGTGCTATATAATGATCTTCTTTAGCCACATGGATTAAATTTAGATACGTTAGCTGGGTGTAGAATGGAGGAAGTGATGGGAGAGGACCAAGGACCAGCAAGTTCAGCCACACAACCTCCTCCCTGTCTTCCTAGACCAGCAGAAGAGGGTCAGTGTTTGATCTACAATGGAAGCTCTCCTTCTTGAGTAAACTGTCCCCATTTCCTCATCAATGGCTACTATTTTTAGGAGCCCTGTATATAGACAGTCAGATCGTTAAAGGAGACCAAGCTGTAGTGACATTTGTCCACTTGATCTACTTACTTAATGTGGTAGCCTGGGATAGTAATAGTAATACTATTGAACGAGTAAAACAGCAGCAGCAGCTACAGACACTTGTGATGTTTTTATTGGCAGGCTGACAATCCTCTTTTCAAGAGTGCCACCACCACTGTTGTGAACCCCAGATTCAATGGCCAGTGAAGTTCAACTACAGCAACTTGGGAAAGCACAAAGAAATTCTTCAGGAGGGAAGCAGAAGATATTGACTTTATTTTCCACTGTGCTTTACTCCTGTCAACCACTATCCATGTCACCTCATGTGTTTTCAATAACCCTTTGTGTGGCTTTTTTTCAAACATGCTTTGATGCTGATGATTTTCTTTTCATTAAAAGGTCTCCCTGTTAAGATTGCTTAATCACACACGCCATGGAATGATCTCAACTTGCCTTTCCACTTATCCTGCCCAAGGCACTCTGAGCAACTTCTCCAGTTATCAGCTGTTAAAGGTCAACCCTTGAAACCCAAATCGAAGGGGAAAAGGTGGACTGGCCATTCAAGCATCTACATAGACAAAGTATTTGTTAATTCCACAGTGGTAGTAAGCCATGCATGCATGTGTTGTAGAAAGGCATAATCTGAAAGAGGTTTTCCCTCTGTGTGACAAAAAAGGGCTCATGCCTCTTAAGACATAAATTTCCAGCTACAGTTTTTATATGTGCTTCTATAATGCACATATAAAATAATGATAATGATGAAATCTTCTACCTAATTGAGAAGATTAACCTGTTAAGTTAAACATTGTAGTGCTACATATTATGGAAGCACACGAAACCATAAGCATGCTCTACGCTATTGAATATTAGGTTGATGGGGTCCCCTGTTGTTCACATTCAGTGCTTCTAGAATGTAAAACCTTGGACCCCCCCCCCCGGCCCTTTTCTGTCTTACTAAATGGCATTAGCAGGCGGGGAGAACTGTCATCTTCTTTTAGCTCTGGGTTTCTGGGCAGATAAATCTCACGACAGTCTGCTCAGTGTACAGTAATAAGGTAGGATGATGAATCCACACCTTCCTAATTCTGTACAAGACCATCAGCGCAAAAGAGACCTCAGTCAAATTGAAACATCTCAGAGAAACAGACAGACGATATACAGTGGTACCTCGGGTTCAGAACTTAATTCGTTCTGGACGTCCGTTCTTAACCTGAAACTGTTTTTAACCTGAAGCACCACTTTAGCTAATGGGGCCTCCTGCTGCAGCTGCACCACCGCTGCATGATTTCTGTTCTCATCCTGAAGCAAAGTTCTTAACCCGAGGTACTGTTTCAGGGTTAGTGGAGTCTGTAACCTGAAGTGTATGTAACCCGAGGTACCACTGTACTCATGTGAAGAAATACGGCACTCGGAACCTAAAGCCTTCATTCTAGCCTTGTGTATTGAAGTGAATAAGCTCCCAAGCTGTCAGGTGCAAGAAGAATATTGCTTGAGAGCACATAACTGCAAGTGTATAAACCCCCATTGTGTGGCTATGATTTGGAAGTAATAAATCTCAAAACACCATTCCTGAAATGACGTGACGTGTTCTTGGAGTGTCATTGTGTCCACTCTTAACATTCTCTGCAGTATCTATTGGACTTAAGATAGGGAAAGGATTGTATCATTGGTCATAATTTATTTCTTTTAAGCAGAGAATGGGTGGAACCTTCATCTGTTTCAGAGTGATAATAAGAAAATTGAATTGTGACATGTTCCATATACGTAGACATTCTCCATTGTGCTGCAGGCAAGCCTCAAGTTTGAAATTATATATATATTTATTAGTTTCTATGTGACAAAAAGGCACCACACAAAACTGAATTTTATATGCCAGGTTTATTGCTAATTCTGTTTCTCGTCGACATTGTGGTTCAATAGTTCACTTAAGAAACTGGAAAACTGGTTGACTCTTTTAAAAATTGGATACAGATCTATTGCAAGTTCAGTGAACTTTTCTAAAACTCACAAAATGCAGTTAATTTATACATGTCCTCTTGTGTGTAAAAGTTGATGTTGGCATTTGGGGAAGTATGGAAGAACAGCTTACAGGCCCTCAGGCTCTTGAGGGATACATACCATTTCTTTAGGAAGATGACAGCAGGGCACTCAAGTCTATGGCAAGTGTCTTGTTGGGTTCCATGTGGATGTCATTCTAACACTTGGATCCAGCACCATGTAGCACAATTAGTCCTTTGGGAATACTTTGACGTTCTGACTTTCCAAGCAGAGGTGAAAGTAAAACACTGAATACATCTCTTTCTCTCTCTTGCTTTTAACACTATTGGGTAACCAGTGATACATTTCCAAATTTTCTGAGGCTGAGTGTCCATTTCCACAGGTTCTCTGCACATGCGTCAATTTGTAGCTTAATACCATTTCTGAGCAGATAGGTGCCACTTACTGCTGTCACAGCCACAGTGAGAAAGAGGCCTCTATTAATTACCTTTTAAGAAGAAATCCAATTTGAGTCAGAAAATGTTGCAGGAGGAAATAGTTTGCAATATTTTTACTCTATAGTTAAATCTTTTGGACTATTCCGCTAACTACATAAGATACCATTCAAAATAAATTTTAGAATCTTTAAAGGATCACAATAAAATATATTTATACTATTTGTATACAAAAGACAATGCACAAGTTGCTTTAAGGTACGCATAACATATCACTCCTTATTTAATTTAATAAATCATATATTAAAAACCATTCTAAAATCACAATGGGCTCCAGACATAATCATACTCAGAGTAAACCCATTGATATCAATGGTATTTATGAATAAATTGGATTCCACCCATTATTTTAAATGTACACTGCCTTTTGTTAAACAGATACTAATATCTGAGCATAAAACCCATATAAACAAGAGCTTGATAAAGCCAAATTAAACACTGGTTCCTTTTTTCTTTTTTTGGAGCAACATACTGTCTCTTCTGTTTGTTCTCTTCCTTTCTTTCTGAACTCCATTAGGAGTGCATTTGGTTGTATTTTATTCCAAACTCTTATGTGCCTCGTCACTTGGTTTATGCTGTGTGTGTATAAGTTTGACAGACAAAAGCAAGTTATTTTGGTCTCTGGGGAGAGAGAGGTAAACTGCTCTCTCTGCTTCTCCTTGTATACATGTACCTTGGATCCCAGGAAAGCCCTGTCATCCACGGTTAGAGGGAACCAAATGGGGTGTGGTGGCAGACTATGTGGAAGCCTCTGGCATGACTGGCCTACCTAGATGGGCAGTTATCAAAGGGAGTAAAAGGTGTTTAATCTCTCCTTTCCATTATAGTAGGACTTTGTTGGCTATATCCATGGCCCCCCATGGACAGGGGGTCAGCTGCCCCCCCAGATCAAGTAAAACAATAGAAATAACTAACTGACCAATCACGTTGGTTCTTGTTATGTACTGACGTTCTCACCCTGGGCCAGCAGGGGGATACTGTAGATAGTTATGCAAATGAAGGATCGAAAAGTGACGTTCAGTGATTTGATAGTTTTGTATGCAAATGAAGGATCGAAAAGTGATGTTCAGTGATTGGATAGTTTTAGAAAATGGCAACAGTTACAATTGTTCTGGAGCTCTATATAAGCAGGCTGACTGAGCCCCTCAGCTTAGTTCTGTTCTGACATCTGAATAAAGAAGAGTTGTTTGAGGAATCGCTGTGTCGTCTGCTATGTTTGCCCACAACTTAACAGTTCTGCCCCTCCTAAGCAAGTCCTGTCCTCCCCCCCCCATACAAAAATCCTGGCTACGCCCATGGCTATATCACCCATAATACAATATGCTCCCAGCCCAAACCAATTCATCTAAGATGCCACTAACCTTATTCTGCCATTTCCATCTTTGCACAGCTTCATGGTATCGAATTCTGGAGAATGTGACCTGCATCAGATTACGAAATCATCACTGAAAGTGGAGGGGATGGCAGCCGGGAATGGAGAAAACAAGGGAAACCCTGCAAGATATCTATTGCTGGTCTTACCATGGTGTACAGAGGGATGATAGTGGAGGGGAAGAGGGCGTGAAGAATGTTGTCAATGTGCTTTCGGAAAATGAACCACTTTGAATTGACATGCTCCCGCATCTGAAACAACCAAGAGAAACGTCTGGAAACATCTCTCATCGCTCAGCTGCCACCCACTCTCTATTTAACTATATTTAACTTACCTCTATATAATTATACATAGCTAAATCTGAAATTGCATGATCATCAGGTACTCTCAGCTTTGAGAACTCTGGGAGACAAATACCTGGGGAAGAAACAAGGTCATTTCACTCATTACACTGAAGGTAAGCCTTGGTTTGTCACTCAGCAAAGCAGGTGCAGTTACTAATGCCTTCAATTTAGACTGCAAATTTTTTTTATTTATAGATAGACAATGGAATGGGCTATGTCCTCATCACGTGGCGCTAGGCAGGAGCAAAGAATTGTGTGAAGAAGGCTCAACTCCTCAGCTTTCCGGATTCGCCAAGCAGCAAACACTGACAGAGTCACTGAAATAAAAAGGTCTGCCTACTTCCTCTCTCCATGGCTCGAAAATCTAAAGGAAGAAATGTGCTAGAGATCTGAAAGGCAAGGAAATTATGGTCAATAGACTATATCTTCACTACCAGTGCACCGGAAATGAAATGTTGTGTGTGATGGCCCACTGGTGAGGTAAAAGAAACCAGTGTAAGGTTCAGGCGTGATGTTTTGCTCAGGAGGTAATTTGGGAGGCAGACATGCAGAGATCTAGAATAACTGCCAACTGTTTAGCCGACATCATCTTGGAGGCAATCAGGAAAGAGGCTGCAGCTTTGATTTTGGCTATTCTCTCCAGAGATAGAAAAACATTCCCTTCTTGAAAATGATGGTCACCCAGGGGAATCAGAGCTATTGTTGGTGCACTGGATGGGGCAGGACATGAAGGTATGTGTCTTTGAGATCTACACTCGAAATGAAAACTCCGTGGTGTAAGGACACTCAGACTGAGTTTAGAGATTCCATTTTGAATCTTTGTAAGCCACATAATGGTTGAGGAAGCGTAAATCGAGAATAGGACACCATTTTTTTCGTGTTTTGTTTGGCACAACCAAAAATATGGATTAGAAGCAGCAAAAGCGCTGATCTGAGGGAATAGGTGTTATGGCTCCTTAGGTATAGGTGGGTTCCCACAAGGCAAGACATTGCGATAACAGAAATAACCTTTATTGAACTACATAACTGAGAAACGGGCAAAGCAACTGCTTATATACATTCCTGAAAGCCTGGGCCACTCCCACTCCCAACGTGACTGGCTGTCTAAATTTCCAAGCTGCGAATCATGACTCAGAGTTCAAGGGCCAATGGCAGAGGCCCATATCCTGAAATCTTCTGTGATTGGACATCATGAATCGAATCAGAACACAGGAGCTCAGAATCCTTAGTCCAGACTCAAGTTCAGGCAAACACAGACGACTGAAAACAACAGCTCCCACAGACAGAAGATGGCAAACACAAGTCTAAACAACTTGCAAACGTACTTTGTTTCTTGGCAAGGGTGAGGGAATGAACGGGAGGGGGTAATGGAAATTAATTTTATGAAATAACCTTGTGAAATAATTCCTAAAACCCAGCAATCAGATACTGACATCTGCCAGGCAGGAAGGAAAGCAGTCAGACGCCAACCATCCCCCACCCCGGATGTGGACCCGTCCTTGGGTTCACTATTTTGTGGCTTTGGTATTGGAAGAAACAATACTTTTCTCTTATTTTTGATTCTATAAAGACATCTTTCAACACCCCTTCTCTGAAAGCTGACCGAAAGGGTTCAGTGGAAAGGTTTACTTTAGAGGCAGCCTCAGCGTTCCTGGACTTTAGCCACAGGGAGCGTCTAGCAGCTACCTGGGGTGCCATTGCTCTAGCTGCAAACTGCATGGGGTCCATGGAGGCATCTGCCATAAAAGCTTAAAGGAGTTTGGTAAGAATCTGGTGCAGTCAAGTTGGATCTTGAGGAGATTGCAGTCCTCAAGCCAAACAATACATGTTCAAGCACATGGGGATGCTACCCAGGCACTCTCATAGAGAGGACCACTGCATCATGGTCTTTTTGTTGTTGTTGTTGTTTAGTCGTTTAGTCGTGTCCGAATCTTCGTGACCCCAGAGCACGCCAGGCACTCCTGTCCTCCACTGCCTCCTGCAGTTTGGTCAAACTCATGCTGGTAGCTTCGAGAACACTATCCAACCATCTCGTCCTCTGTCGCCCCCTTCTCCTTGTGCCCTCAATATTTCCCAACATCAGCGTCTTTTCCAGGGAGTCTTCTCTTCTCATGAGGTGTCCAAAGTATCATGGTCTTACGTAAGGCAAATTCAATTCTCCTATCAGCAGTGTCCCAAAGTTGAGTATTTCCTTCCTTGGGGACCAGATGTCACGATGACAGATTTAAAACTGATCTGTCTATAGAAGGAGTCTTAATATATGCCATGAATTCCAGATCCAAGACATATAATTTCTTCGCTAAGATTTAACTATTGCCTTAAGTGGCGCGAGCTTCGGAATAAGTGGGATCCGCGTGCGCGAGACCGAGGTCGCGGGTAAGGAGCTCAGCCCTGGGCAGGAGGAAGCGGGGCCGCGCGTGCGGGCCACATCCCCACAGAGAGCGAGCCTCCCCCGGCCCACCACTCCGGGCAGGTCCACTCGCATGAGGGGGCGGCGATGGCGACGGCCGGCAGCTTGCCTGCAATGCCATCCCTCGAGCAGGCGAGGAGCCCGGAGGCTACCAGATGCGAGTCCTCTTTCCCACCCTGCTCGGGAGTCCAGAGCACTTGGTCGCATTCAGGATCTAGAGTGGGGAAGCGGGGCTTGTGTCTGGGCTGGACACATTGGGCTGCCTGTGCCGCTCGACCTGCGGGGAGAAATCAGGGTGGGAGTCACGACCGTGAGGCAGGGCTGCCAAGTGTGGCAGAAGAGGACACGGCCGTCGCACCTGTCCTTAGGTAGGAGCTTCTTCCGTGTCGACCTGCTGCCCTAAAGTCTTGGCCAATAGTTGGCTGGGGTGCAGCTATTAGTTAACACATCACTCTCTGGTTCAGTGGTTGATTTGTCAGGTTGAGCAGTTAATTCTAAGGCATGCATTATCTCATGTTCCAGGAGGGGGGCGCTGGCCTCCTGAAACAGCCTTATAGATGAATCTTCATCTTGCAAAGATCCTTCACTCCAGTTATCATCCAGCTCCCCTTCCTGGAAAAGGGTTGGGGAGGAAACCAAGGGAATATCATCACCTATGGATGTGAAAGGGGGGTGTCCTTTGTATCCAAATGAACCTGAGCCCTCTGTGATGAGAAAGGGGCAGCCTTCCTAGGTTTAACAAATTTCTTCGTTCTGCAATTGTAAGTGTGAAGCAATAATTGCTTCTTTAAATTGTTCAATAAGTGCGGCTGGAAAAGTTTGAGGGGCAGAGGCAACCCGATTGGTGGGAGGGGAGGTCTGAACCTCATGTCCCTGATCATCAGAAGAACATAAAAGTCAGATTCAGATAATGTGTCAACCTGAGAATAACCAGCAGGTGGCAGTGCATCCTTGGCATTCAAATGGGTGGAATCATTTCAAACAGCTGACTGCTCTGTCTCTGAAACTTTAGACTGATGAACAATAATGGAAGAAAGATGCTTCCTGGAGTGGACAAGAGGAGCAGACTTGGTGCGTGTGCGGGAGGCAGTGGAAGACAGGAGTGCCTGGCGTGCTCTGGTCCATGGGGTCACGAAGAGTCGGACACGACTGAACGACTAAACAACAGGTCCTTTAGAGGGCAACAAGTGCTTCAGCTTTGTTTCGTTTTCTTAAGAGGTGGCTCAGCCACAGCCTAGGTTGGCTCCATCATAGTCAGAGAAACACAAGACAAAGAGACAGACAGCCTACACAGCCACAGCCCTGGACTGCGAAATATAAGCTCTCAACTCTGTTTGCCACAGGATGCTGAATCTCCTTTTGCCACACCGCGGACCAGGAGAAAATAGGCCAAGTCCAAGTGCCCGTCAAGAGGTTAAATTAAGGTTACCAGACGTCCCCGTTTCCCAGGGACAGTCTCCGGATTTACAAATCAGTCCCCATACAAAATCCATTTAAGTTGAAAAGTGTCCCTGGATTCATTGAAAAAAATCTGGTGACCTTAGGTTAAATTATAAGTGTAGAGGCTCCACTCCGTTTGCCCATTTGCCAAAGCAACACAGAAAGCAAGAGAAACAAACTGCCAGAAGAGAAAACAAACTCCTTAAATCCACAAACTAAATAGAAAAAAAGGACCGGAAGAAACCCTGAAGGAAAAACCAGTGGCATTTGCAAAAAGCCGCCAAAACGCTGCAGGAATAAAGAGCATTCCTCATCTTTGCAATCAGTAAAGCTGTGAAACAAACGAAGCTGCCTCATGCCTGAGAGAGAGGCTGGAAAAGGAGGAAAGAAAGAAAGAAACGTTCACAGGAACCCAGGAAATTTACAGAATGGCAGCCATCACCTCAAAGCAGGGTAAAGATAATAATGCTGATTGGAAGAAAGCAGGAATGGGGTTTGAGGAGAGGTCTTGTTTTGTTTTTGTTTTGTTAAAGACAGGGATCTAGAGAAGAAACAAGATAGACTGAAGGATTTGCTGAATATTAAATTAGAAATTGGAATACAGAAAGGGGAGGTATGAGGAAGTCGGGGAAGTAACTTATAAGAAAATAAGGGTTGAAATTATATTTGTTTTTTATTCTTTTGTTTGTTTGTTTTATTGTATTGTTCTGTTTTGTTGTTATAAAAAACTTTTGAAACTTTAATAAAAAATTTATATAAAAAAAGAAACAAGATAGACTTATCTGACAAAGAAGGAAAGCCAGGAGGAATGACTGTTGCGCCAGGCAAGAGAAAAAAACCAAGGAGTCGCGGCTGCTTCACACAAATCTTTGTGGCTGCCTAGCAACACAAGGACATAGCCATCCCATTGGCTCCAGCATCCCACAAAGTAAATCAAAGAGTTACCCTCCATCTTTATTTCCCCAGAATGCTTCTGGGTGCTCTGTTGACTCAGACTCAGAGGCATTCTTAGAAAATGGCCATGGAGCACCTGATAAACTTGGAGGTAGGTGAGGGCTGTGGGAGCAATGGGAGATGTGAAAGGGGATGAAGCAGGGGAGGAGGGGACAGGATGGTCCTGGAAGAGGAAGGGTGTGCGTGTGGCAAGGGGGAAAGGCAGATAACTAGCCCAAGGAGCTAATAACTGTCAACCCTGATATCCTTCTGAGGAGTCCAACTGGTAAAGGGTTTGGGGACGCAATCTTATGGCGCCTCCACTCCTACCCAGCTGGGTATTCTCTGCTGTGCCTCATCGCCTAAGGGAAACACAGATCCTGGTAACGAAGGGCACCCGGAACTCCCTAGACTCTCTCCCTGCTGTGGAGATCGGGGTGCCATGTAGCAATACTGGGGGCAGCTTTGAATCCCAGCAAGAGGAAGCACCTGCTTGGTGGGGGTTTTCTGTAACCAACTCCCTCGGTTTCAAGAGGCCATCAGAGCAACTGTGTTTCTCGGGGTGGCAGGGAGGATGTGAAGAGGGAGCGTTTGAGAAGAGGGCTAACAAGCTGGAATGACTCTTACAGCAGCAGTTTTCATTCAGGCTCATGGGGAATCTGGTCTTTCGTGACAGAAACATATACTCACATATATCATTTTGGAACTGGTTCATTAACTCATCAAAAACCAGACAGTCTTCAAATCCCTGAAGTACAAGGAGAAAAAACAGCTTAGGATAGGACCTGTGGGCTGGATCAGATGCTTTGCATTCAGAAGGTCCCAGAGTCAAACCCCAGGGTCTCCAGAAAACCTGGAAAGCAGCTGCCAGCCAGCATATTTCATCTCATGTTCATTTCACTTTTAATTTGTATACCATCTTTCTATATTGCTATACATAAAGCTGTATATATGTACACACCCACCCACCCCAAAAATCATGCATCTTATAACAATCCCAATCCAATGCAAATATTATAACAAAAAATACAACTTTAAAATAAACAGCTTATATAAAATAAAGTAATAGCCAATAATGCATTTAGGATATTACACAACAAAATTAACATTCAAAGTATCAATATATAATAATTAAACAGAAATTCACTCGGCAATTACAACAAATCATGACTAGACTATAATCAACAAAAATAACAGCAGTGTCACAATATATAAAATATCACAATTCATAAAAAACCATGGGAAAATATTGAACCGAGCAACAAAGTCACAAACCTTATAAAATTACAAAATGCACTAACATAACTGATCATCCAGACCAGATCCAGTATGTAATCCACAAGACTCTTCTTGCTGTGGACAACCGGACTGCTTGAGCCACCCACAAGGCCAAAGGAAGACCACATGGAGCTACTCTGGGAGCAGATGTCAAACACATAAACAGCTCTGTGATTTTCAAAAGACATCTGAAGGGAAGTTTTTAGCATGTGATGTTGTGTTGTGTTTTATTAGATTCCTCTAATAGAAGGCTCACTAAAGTCCAGCCCTTTTCACATGGAAAAATGGGGTGCAACAAACTGAGCTGCTAGTTTGGTTTGCTTGGGACATTTTGTCTTCAGTTTTTGCTTTATTTTTTTTAATTGGAGAAGAAGTAGCCCAAAGTGCCACATACCACAAAGCTGTGTTTCAGTTCTAAAAGCCAATAAACTCTACACTGCAATTTTTAAATCTTTTTAAATCAAAAAGAAAAGGATTTTTAATTCCCCAAGTAATGTAATTATGGAGAGGGACAAAGGAATGGCGGAGCTGACGCTCTGACTCACAGCGTTCATGCCTTGTCCGTAGAAGGGCACAACCGCATGGGCCGCATCTCCCATCAGCACACAGCGAGAGCCACGGTGGAACGAGGAGCACTTCACAGAGACCATGGCCTGGGCTGGTAACAAAAAGTAATCTCGCATCAGTTCTTGCCTGAAATTGAAACAGCAGAGCAGGTATCAAATGCTAAATATGGCCATGTTATAAACCTAAGACCCAGAGGGAAATGGTACACTAGTACATTTTCTACATGAAAGATTTTCTGCAGGCAAAAGCGTGGCTGGGGCTTCCCATGGGTTTCTGTGCCATTGTAAACCATTCCTTCTGTCGATTTTTTGTAGCCATGAAAGAAACACTGATTAAAGCTTAATCCAGATATGGGAATGGGAATGTAATCAGAGTCACCAGGATTTTATAACTTGGGGTTGGAGGGAAGCGATGGGCAAGTTCCTCCAGGCTTGTTTTGTAGCTGGTCTAGTCTTTTGAGGCTCTCTTGGTAAACATCCAGAGTAAGTTTTATTTATTTATTGAACACATTTATATGCCATATTTTATCAATTATTTCAAGGCTGTTGACAAAAAGATTGTTGCATGGGGATGATTTTCTCTGCACTGGAAACTCCTCAGCTCCTGTCGACTTTCCCCTCACTATCAGCTTAAAAACTGCTCTGCCACCTTTTTGATATGAAGCACCAGCAGTCTAATTCCATCCTGCTTCCAATTGGAGCCCGTCCCTTTTGCACAGGCCTGGCTTGTTCCAAAACTCTCCTGCACAGCACCACTCTTTCACACACACCTGGAGACCACACAGCTGTCTGTCTGTCTAGCTGGTATAGAACTGGCAGCATTTCAGAGAAATCCACCATGAAGGTCCTGACTTTCAGCATCCTAAATAATAAAATATTTATTTGAATTATGCTAATATATGATAATTTTTGCTCATAATTTTAGTAATCATAAAGATCATTTATAAATACTGTGATGGTTTGTAAATTCCTGAAAATGAAAGATATTCCTTCTGCATGCTATTTCAAAAGGTAAGATAAAGGAGACGGATTCATTAATAACTGTTAATGCTGATTCACTAGATATGAAAGCACTTTGTTTTGCCTGGTTCACCTCCATTGTGCCATTCCTCTCCATTTTTATCTCTCCCATTAATTAGAGCAAGCCGCCTGCAAGACTCCATTCACTCTGAGATCTCATGTGTTCATTCAGTGGCTGTAAGTGGCAAACTTACTTTCCTATCAGAGGAATTGTGTCCGGAAAGTACATTTTGAAGAAATCCAGCACTTGGTCTCCTGTTGTGAGCTTTTCAAAATCGTCAAAAGGCATGAAGAGAGTGCATGTGAATGACTTATCCTATGAATTAAAAAGGGTGTGAGAACTTGAAAGAAGAGATATCACTGGTTAGTTTTAAAGTCGAAAGTAATTTCCTGAAATATCAGCAAAAAATAAATAAATTCCACTGATTCATTTATGTTAAATGTATTTTTGGAAACAAAGTTTTCAAGTGCTGTGGTACTAACATACTATCTGCATTTCAGTATATACAGTATACATTTCTGTCTAAAATACAGATGTACATTACACAGCTTATTCCAGGTCTTATATCGTTTTCAACACACATTGCAACCTTCTAAGAGCCTGGGACCCCAGTTGTGGTTGAACAACTCTCATCATCCCATACTAACAACAGACAGTGGTGCCTCGCAAGACAAAATTAATCCGTTCCGCGAATCTCTTCGTCTAGCGGTTTTTTCGTCTTGTGAAGCAACCCTATTAGCGGCTTAGCGGATTAGCGCTATTAGCGGTTTAGCGGCTATTAAAGGCTTAGCGGCTATTAAAGGCTTAGCGGATTAGCGGCTAAAAGGCTATTAGCGGCTTAGCGGCTTAGAAAAAGGGGGGGAGCGGAAAAAAATCGGAACACTTGCAAGACGTTTTTGTCTTGCAAAGCAAGCCCATAGGGAAATTCGTCTTGCGAAGCAGCTCAAAAACGGAAAACCCTTTCGTCTAGCGGGTTTTCTGTCTTGCGGGGCAGCACTGTAATTACAATAAAATAAAATGAAGTTTAAATGGACAGAAAAGCAGTGTTTGAGGGGGGAAATAAAATACATGCAAAAAATGTTGTGTCTAAATTCTTCAAAAGTTACCTGTGATAAATATCCCCCCCTAAAAAAAAAACCCCATTTGAGCACAGCAGGGTGTATTGAGTCTTCATCTGGATGTCCAAAATAAAACTGCTATCTTCTAACTAACCTGGCTCCAAGCACCCTTAAGCTCAGGTAATTGAAGGGAGAATGTTACCGCAATGAGGAACAACATGAAGAAGAAAGCACAAAGGTAAGAAAAGGAGAGAGACTTTGTTTTTTAAAAATATTGATACTTGTTATATCTATTCCAGACATACCCTGGAAAGTGGTGGGATCCCTCAGCCTGCCCTGAAATTAACCTCTGATCTGAAACCACAACAGGAGTATTCCTCTTCAAGGATGGAGAAACATTGCAACATTACGTTGCAGGTCCTACTGGTTGCAATTGCTTTGAGATGGATGTGGGTTTTGTGTCCATTAGGTTCAGCCTGTTGGCCTCTCAAGAGACAATGGAGTGGGCCTCTGGAAGTGAAGACAAACTGTTGTTTTAGCAGCACTGAAGTGCTCTCCCTGGGGCGCAACACTGGGCAGTGTGTGTCAAGGTCCTAGAGAGCCCAGACGACAAGGTCCCCCTCTCGGCCTCACTGATGGGGCCCAAAAGAAAGCAGAGCAATACATTAGGCACCCGCTGGGCTGCAGGAGTTGCCAGAAGGAAGCATACAAGGCACCATCCAACAGTAAGCGACTCCACTCTGGAATTGTGTCGGCTTTACTCCTTAGCCTTTTCTTCTTCCACAAGGCAGCATGTAAGATATTTGTTAGTTCTGAGAGTAGATAGAAAATATTGTCTCTGTCTCAGTAGGTCACTGTAATGTTTGTGCTTTGTTGTTATTCTGGTTTCCAGAAATCCTCATCTAAAGCTAAACGATCCTGAAATTACATCGACATTTCAAATGATGTGTTACTACTAAAAAGACAGTTTTAAACATGTACTGTTTCTCCTACCAGGTTTGGCAGCGCAATCATCATGAATGTATTCCTGGGCCAGATGTGGAGATAATTTGGTTCCATAGCAAACTGAAAAGAGACCAAGAGAGGGGCAGAAATATGTTTGTCAATGTTTATGCAGCTGTCAACTTGGAAAGCAAGGTCTATAGTGAGACTCTGTTATCACTACAGTTGTACCTTGGTTCTCGAACGTAATCTGTTCCAGAAGTCCATTTGACTTCTGAAAACGTTCGAAAATCAAGGTGCGGCTTCAGATTGGCTGCAGGAGCTTCCTGAACTCAATTGGAAGCTGTGGAACCCGCATCAGATGTCCGGATTCCAAAAAACATCCACAAACCAGAACACTCACTTTTGGGTTTGCAGCGTTCAGGAGCCAAAACATGTGAGTACCAAGGCGTTTGAGAACCAAGGTACGACTGTACTTACATCTCCATCCCTTGGGGGTATTTTCAGTTCCATGTATCCATGAGGAATATATACTTGGCTGTAGTCAAAACGTGCTTGTCTCATGAACTGCTTCCGAACTGTAGAAAAGGCTCCATCACAGCCTACAATGAGGTCACAAGTGACTTCTTTTGACATCTTGTCGGATCTAGAAAGGAGAACAGCAGCAGCAGCAGAGGATTTGTACTTCCTTGCACTAACTGATAATCAGTTTGATGTTGCATGTTTTATTGGATATTACAGTATTTTCAGTGGTGGCCAAACCTGACATCTGTTTGCTTGGACCTCTCTTTGTAGCATTACATTTTAAGACCTTAAGGGTTTGCTTTTTTTCTTTCTTAAGTCTGGACTTTATAAAACATATCATACACAAAATCCACACTGAGTTTTGCTCAAATGGATTTGAGAAAACAGGGAGAGAGAAGGTTAACTTTCTTTCCAAGTTGTGGGTCAGAAATAACCCTAAATATTCCAAAAATAACAGTTGATCCCTGAAATAGTATTAAAAATGCAAGTATACATAAAACAGATTATGCTATTTACGCTGTTTAGTCCAGTCTTCCACTTATTCAAGCAGCTGTAATCTTTTCAAAACATCCTGTCAGACCTGTGCATACTGATTTCAAAAATTTTAACACAAAAAGGCGCTCTTGTTAGGCTTGTTCATACAGATACTGTACAAGCTGTCTCTGCATATATACAAGTGTTAGTGTGAAAGAGTATACACTAGTTGATTTGTAAAGTTAAACAGTTGTGCAGACAAGTACACAGACTGTCCACTTGATAATGTTACATTTGTAAAACTGTCCTGAGCGTACAGTTAAGTCATTTGTGTACATGGACACACAGATTATACACTTGCTGAATGTAACATGTAAACAATCCTATTGAATGTTTGGGCACAAAAATCAACATTTTGCCCTTTATTTTTAAGAAATTATTTATTGAGGAGGAACTGACATCTTCTGATTATGAAGATACAAGTATAAGCTACTATGTTATTAGCTCAATGAAAGAGGCAGCTATTATTATATTAGTGATAAAAAAATTTCCTCAAAGAAAATTACTATCATGCTCTTAGCCTACAAAACTAAACACATTTACTAGGGTTTTAGCCCCATTGAACACAGTGAGGCCAGGGGTGGAGGAAGGGGGTGCAGTGGGTGCGGACTACCCCGGGTGTCACCACTGAGGGGGGTGACTAAATGCTGTGCGGCACTCACCGCGGGGCCTGCAGTGTGCCCAAGCCACACATCTCTCCTGGGAGAGACGCGGTGGCTAGGGCACGCACAGGCTCTGCGCTGCCCAAACAGTTTGCCCACTGCCTCCCCCCCCCCCAGCTGTAGGGCAGCTGAGTGGGAGGAGGCAGACTCCGGAGGCCCCGTGGTGCCCTGCCTGTTATGTACTGAAGTTCTCACCCTGGGCCAGCAGGGGGATACTGTAGATAGTTATGCAAATGAAGGATCAAAAGTGACATTCAGTGATTGGATAGTTTTAGAAAGTTGTTACAGTAACGTGGTACTGGAGCTCTATATATGCAGGCTGACTGAGCCCTTCAGTTCAGTTCTGTTCTGGCCTGTGAATAAGCAAGAGCTGTGTCATCTGATATGTTCAGGGGGTAATGACAATTAAAATATTATTATTATTGTTGTTGTTATTATTGTTGTTGTTGTTGTTGTTGTTATGTTCACCCACAACTTAACACTGCCCTCACCCCATCCCTATGGGCAGCTCACCCCGCCCCTGAGTGTACCACCCCGGGCTCCCAAGCGGCTTTCTACACCGCTGAGTGAGGCGTACCTTCAAATAAACATGCAAAGGATTACATTGTTATTTTATTTAGGTGCCATGTCCTATTGAAAGTTCTAATGACTCCTGGAACAATTGCAACTGGTGGGCCTCTCCCCAGACCACCCCACCAGACCAAGAGGGATGGACAATGTCAACTTGCCCTTTGGGTTCTGATTAATTATCAGCATGTTCAGGAAGGATGGAGATAATGATTACCCTGAAAAGGTCAGTGTTCCCAGTTCCACATTGCAGTGAAGCAGTTTGTGTCCAAAGTATAATTTAGTATTGGGATATTTCTCAGCAGCTGTAGAAAGACACAGTATGAAATATATTGTCCTGAACACAAATATGACCCAAACTGGGAGCTGCATAATGAAATTACATTTTTCCTAATGAATGGCTGAACAGCTATTTGCAAGGTAAAGTTCATGTAACATACTGTTATGGATTTGCACGGGGCAAGGATCCCCCAAAATTCTTGGGCACCAGGTTCTCCCCAGAATTTCTGAAATTAGTAAATGTGAGGTCTGAAGCCAAGCCAGCTTCCTCGTGAGTTGGGCTTCAAGAGGTGACATCCAAGAACAAATGCAATGGTGGTGACAGAGTCATTACCCTGAGAGGTGAGACATTCAGCAACAGACAAGAAAGGGGGAGGCTGGCAGGATTATAGGGGGCATGAGGTCCCCACAGGAAAAAGGGCAGTCTGGGGAATCTTCTTGTGACATTTGAATCACACAGAGAGTGAAGAGAGTAGCAGTATTTATGAAAGTGGTTTTCCCTCTCTTCACCTACCCCAGGTGAAAGAGGAGGGAAGTCGTGATAACCTTCTTGTTATATGCTCTCCTTGGCATATGTGTGGATACACAAACACTCCCATTGCCAAGACCACTGACATCTGTCCTTACAAGGACACACTATAAGGTAATGCAAAATCTCTTTGCAAGGAGCTTTTATTTTCAGAATACAACCAGTTTCTCAATAAGTGCATTCAGGGGCAAAAAATGTGCACTAGATCCAGATTGTGGATGAGCTACATAGGAAAAAACAAGTACTCCTGTCTCCATTGATTCTAGAACATTCTGTCATATGTACGTAGACAATGCATATCTAAACCACTTCTCCTATAATTAGAACCATGGCTTAGCTTTGGGTAGCACAGCAGCAGAACTGGGGAGGAGCAAAACAGCCATGAATTTTACTGTAAGTTTCTGCCTGCTAGTAGTGCATTCACATAAGCCATGGTTTGGATTAGGAATATGTGCACACTCAGCCAGTGAAGTAGCACTGCGCTCAGTCTTTCTTATATCTCATTTTGATTGAGTAATTACAGTCTCCATCATCTGAGTCTTTAAGAGGTCAAAAATAACTGGAAATGGGGGCGGGCAGGAATCATACTTACCAGTTAGCAGATCTTTGTTTAAATTTGCTCTATCTACAGAGAGAATGTACTGCATGGGGGGAAACACATAAGACACAGAATAAGTTTGAATGTCTTGTAACATATATGAATGGTCACAGATAAGTCAAGAATCCCCTTTCCCTAAATTTCCATGCATCACAAACCTAGGATACAGGGGTCCTGTGATTTATCACTACCCCAATATGGGTCTCTACTGCTCTCCTGAATGGAAGTGTGCTGGGACTGATCAATCAAGTAGCTGTTGTTTTTACGGAGATTGGCATGCAGTAGAAACCCCAACATGCTCTCCCACCATTGTCAGCAGAAGCCGCGCTCTGGCTGTGCCACTGGGAAAGTAGCCCAAGTGGCTTGTCATGACATCCAGATCCTGACTTCTGGTTTGTTTTCCCAAAACAAATCACAATCAGGAATCCAAGAACAAACCTTGAATATCGCTCATGTTTTGTTTGGAGAGAAATAAGCTATAAGCCTGGGTTTGGGCATCATGAGAATAAAGGTGTGCTGGCCTGTTTTCCAGAGTTGTTTTGCAGGTGACTCAGTTTTCAATGAGAAGGATTCTGAAGGGAGAGGAATGTAGGAAGATGCCCAGTGAACCCCCTCATGTGTGCTTCCAGTATAAAAACTCTCTCAACTGAATAGCTGTCAACTTTCCCCTTTTCTTGCGAGGAATCCTATTCGTAATAAGGGAATTTCCCTTTAAAAAAGGAAAACGTTGACAGCTATGCTCAATGGAATAGTAGGAATTTGCTATTATACACAAAAAGACACCACTAAAGACTAAAAACTATTTTATAAAGGGATGTTTAAAATAATACCTGGCTCTTTGTCCCATATGGAATTGAATATTGTTTGCCTGAGAGCGTGTGGATTCTCCTTGCTCTCATAGGTATGCCTTTAGACACAATCTGAAATCAGAAAAGAGAAACATTTGCATCCTAAGAGATCTTTAAAAGTAGCAAGCAACAGGCTGGAGTTCCCAAAGGTTCTAAATCTTTGCAGCTTTTGTTGTATTTTAAGTTGTGTAGAACAAGACTTTAATTTTTAAATCATTACTTATATGGTTTTTAAAAGCCACTGATTTTAAACCATTACTTATACAGTGGTACCTTGGGTTACAGATGCTTCAGGTTACAGATGCTTCAGGTTACAGACTCTGCTAACCCAGAAGTATTACCTCGGGTTAAGAACTTTGCTTCAGGATGAGAACAGAAATCGTGCTCTGGCAGTGCAGCAGCAGCGGGAGGCCCCATTAGCTAAAGTGGTACCTGAGGTTAAGAACAGTTTCAGGTTAAGAACGGACCTCTGGAATGAATTAAGTTCTTAACCTGAGGTACCACTGTATTTATTGGTTGACTCTGAACACCAGAGGTTGGTACCCCTTGGCTCACAGGCCATATGTGGCCCACAAAGAGGTTTTTTGGTGCAAGGGAGCAAGACACCTCACCCAAAAATTCACACACACAATATTATAATACATAATACATTGACTGTTTCCATAGGCCTCCTGATATCGTTCAGGTGCCAAAAGGTTTTTGTGACTTCCAAAATGTGTCCCCCCTGCTGATCTCTCCACAGCCACTTCTGTTGCACTTTGGCCCTTGGAGAGTTGAGCATGGGTCAACGCAGCCCTTGGCCCACAAAAGTTTAGTCACAGTGTGTGTGTGGGGGGGGTGACACAATATTTCCCCCTAAGCTCCTTCCCTGCATCACCATTGGTTTCTCAAGTGTACTCAGACCACATCTCTCCTGTGCTTAAATAGTTGCAATGCACTATTTGCTTATCTATTTCTAGGCATAATTAAAAGGGCTGGTAGTTACCTATAAAGCAGTAAATAACAGGGGGCCCAGCTATTCTCCCTCCCTCTCTCTATATATATATATATTCCTCAACTCTACTCTCTATGTCCCTGGAGATACCAGGGAGTTAACCTGGGTCTTTCTGCATGCAAATGATGCATTTTATCGCTGGGAAATGGCTCTGCCCACTTAAGCTGTATGACTGAAACTGGAAGGAATCCCGTAAGTAACTTTCTGTCTGGCATTGAAAACATCTGTATTAAAAACCTGTCCCAGACTGCAGTCTTTTCTTGGAAGAAGGGAGATCAATTTTTTAAATAGATGTATTGCTCAACAACTAAAAAAAAACAATGTCAGTGGCTTCCTATGAAAAGCTCAACAATTCAGCGGTCTTCCTAAAAAAAACTTTCAGGGTGTCCTGGTTTTAAAACCCTTGTTCCTTCAAACTACCCAGCAGTCAAATACTGAAAAACCCAACACAAAGGCATTACATTTTGTTTCATCCTTTAAATGTACGGTCACCTGGTTTTCCAGCCCAACAGCCTTGAGAGCTTGCCGTCCCCTGTGAGACAAGGCCAAATTAATGCTCCTGCCACGAGCTGCATCGGAACCACGGATATCTGAAATGAAACGAGGTGGCACTTTCGTCATGTGTGTGACACTGTTGAAATGGATGGCCACATTAATTTAGAAAAAGCTTCAACAGCCACTGCTGTTAGGTCTATTATAGTACACACACACTTTCCTTAGGCAATGTCAGGGACCGTGCTGAGGAGGAAGGGTGGGAGCCTCCCCCTGCTGCTGAATCTTCCCAGGAGCAGGAGGACAGTATAGATTTGGAAAAGTGGTTTGCAGAGGGACATAGTTCAGAAGGCAGAAGCTGGGAAATACTGGATGGGGAACAGCTAGGAGAAGAAGCACTGGGAGAGAAAAAGGGAGAGTGTTTGGGCATGGTGATAGAGTCAGCATTGGGGAGTGTGAATGGGCCTAGCATGAACATGAAGAGCAAGTGAAGGTGATCTGAGAGCGAGGGGAAGGTGGTCTGAAAGCAAGCAGAGGTTCAGTCTGAGTGCATGGCCCCCAACACAAGACAGCTTCTTCCTCAAGGTGGGAAAGCTAAAAAGCAGAATGTGTTCCCACAGTGCAAGAGAAACTGGCTGTGCTGGACTGCTTCAGAGGCAGCATGACTGTCGGCACTGGCCCGGGGATATGGCCTGAACGAGTCCAGCATCCGCGCCATCAAGGTGTGCAAAGAAGGAGATCCATGGGGCTGTGGCACCAAGTGCTCCATTACCTGCCAAGGTGACCAGCCAGGGGTGTGCCAAGGCTTTGGTCAAGACTGAGAAGACATTAAACCTGTGGCTGGAAAACCTGAGTCAGAAACGGGTGCCTGTTGATGGACCTCAGCGACACCAAGAGGCTCTCTCCCTTTGTGCAAACATCAAAGCTTCTAGAGAGTGAGCAGCCTGGAAAAAGGAATTCAAAGCCAGCACCGGCTGGCTTCACGCTTCAACTTCAGGAACATGCGTATTTCCAGGGAGGCTGCGCTGGCAGACAAGGAGGCAGCAAAAGGATTCCCCAAACACTTTAATCAGCGGAGAGACAACAAGGGATATGTGCCCCAGCCAGGTTTTGATGCAGATAAGACAGGACTTTTCGAGGGGGAGGGGGAAATGCCTGACCCAAACAGAAAACCAAGCCCCTGGCTTCAAAGCAGCTAAAGACCCTGTGACTGGTCTGTTCTGTGGCAATGGGGCTGGGCATTTGATAAAGCCCAGGATTTTTGTACAGGTCTGAAACCACCCCTGCCCTAAAAGCAGAGTTTGAAACTCCCATTGTTCTAGGCACATTTTACGACAGGGAATTTCATTAGTGCGAGTAGTTTCTGAGCTCTGGGTACAGTACTGTGCCTAAGATTTCAGAGTCAAACTGCAGAGTGGAAGGAAAGGAGGACTTTATTCTGCCTCCCCAATTTCAGCTACTCTCTGAAGACGAGAAGAGACCCTCTTAAGAATATTAGGGGTGGGTGGGCGGGGGAAGGACTAGACCAGGGGTCTGCAACCCGCGGCTCCGGAGCCGCATATGGCTCTTTTACACCTTTTCCGCGGCTCCGGGGCGGATACTAGCGAGAGGAGGAGGCGCATTGTGTGCCCCGACACTCCCCACTGTGGCAGGCGTTGTACTGGCTGTGACGTCGCATGGGGGCGGTGCGTGCGTTAGTCACGCACAGTCCTGACGTCACCTTCCCGCCCGCTGTCAGATCGGAGGGCAGCGGCGCGCATGCTTTAAATGTTGCAATGGTTTTGCGGCTCCCAGTTTTTTCCCCCTTCGGAAACTGGTCCAAGTGGCTCTTTTTGTCTTAAAGGTTGCAGACCCCTGGACTAGACCATGTGAAAAATGAACATGTTAGCTGCAGTTCATTCATTTTCAGCTTTGTATTCTTGGAATTAAAAAAGTACGCTGAGACATTCCGTTGTTGCGCCCATAGTTTAGGTTTAAGGTGCCATTTAGCTCCTAGCTTTCATATCTCAGTTTCTAACACTGCCTAAAAGGCAAGAATAAGAACCTCCTGTCTGTGTTTTGGCAATCTAGAGAAAAGGCCTGGGTGATGGCAGCACCCTTTCTGGGCGGATTTCCTTTAGATGAGATTTGCCAGGTCTTAGTCTTTAAGGGCTAGCCCACCCATGAGGGCAAGGTAAGGCGACCACCTCAGGCGGCAGGATCCACAGGGGCAGCAGATCCCGATGTAGCTCTTTATTCCTGACTGGACCTGGTGGGGAAGAGGGAGCCATTTTGTGTATTGTGTGGCCCTTGTCTTATACATTGACAGAAAACACCCACCTAGAACTATCTAAGGATTTTCTTGTCTCAAGGGGAGGAGAAATGTAGTTTTCAAAAAGTTGTTTCTGCAGTGTGGGTTTTAAATGTAATAAACAGACGACAACAACGTAACAGCCAGGGTTGCCATATTTTGAAGAGTGAAAAAGAGGACTTTTGCTGACTTCTGCTTTTAACTATGGATCACTATGATGACTCTACCCATGAAAAAGAGGCCGTGTCCTGGAAAAAGAGGATATATGTCAACCCTACTAGATGGGTATTTATTGAAGTGTTTTTGGATTATTATTGTTCTGGGTTGTTCTGGATTATTTTTTGGGGGGGTCTCATGCCTACTTACAATATTTGTTGTGTATACACAGAGGTTCCTACTGCAAAAATATAGAACTTACGACTTCAAAATATAGTTTTACTCCACTCTAAAAAGATAAGCAGATGTCAATAAATAAAAGACTAATAGACAATATAGATAATATCAACAGACAAATTCATGGATAGGACCATCAGTGGCTCCTTGTCATCATGGCAATGTTCTCCTGTGGCAGGCCTCTAAATATCAGCTGCTGGGAGTTGCAGCTGGGAAGAATGCTTTTGCCCTCGAGTCACGTCTGTTGGCTTTCCATCGGCTGCTGTGAGAAGAAGATCCAGCAGGCCTCTTATGCTCACAAGCAAGCAACCTCCACATAAGTCAATGGGATGTGCATGCATTTAATTTCTACTGCAACCCTGCAAATATCAAAATGTACATACCTGGTCTGGTTTCATACATTTCCACTATAAAGCCCCTTCTTGCAAAGAAGCAAGCATTTAAAGAACCCACCTGCAAGAAAATCATAGAATCATAGAATCATAGAATCCTAGAGTTGGAAGAGACCACAAGGGCCATCGAGTCCAACCCCCTGCCAAGCAGGAAACACCATCAGAGCACTCCTGACATATGGTTGTCAAGCCTCTGCTTAAAGACCTCCAAAGAAGGAGACTCCACCACACTCCTTGGCAGCAAATTCCACTGTCGAACAGCTCTTACTGTCAGGAAGTTCTTCCTAATGTTTAGGTGGAATCTTCTTTCTTGTAGTTTGGATCCATTGCTCCGTGTCCGCTTCTCTGGAGCAGCAGAAAACAACCTTTCTCCCTCCTCTATGTGACATCCTTTTATATATTTGAACATGGCTATCATATCACCCCTTAACCTCCTCTTCTCCAGGCTAAAAGCATTAGAAGAATTTTAGAGTCGAATAGTGTACCACAAACAATGGTACATGGAATGGGTGTGTTATGTGTTGAATGCAAACATTCTTATATCATCAGATATACCATATTTTTTGCTCTATAAGACTCACTTTTTCCCTCCTAAAAAGTAAGGGGAAATGTGTGTGCGTCTTATGGAGCGAATGCAGGCCGTGCAGCTATCCCAGAAGCCAGGAGAGTGAGAGGTATTGCTGCTTTCACTGCACAGCGATTCCTCTTGCTTTTCTGGCTTCTGAGATTCAGAATATTTTTTTTCTTGTTTTCCTCCTCCAAAAACTAGGTGCGTCTTGTGGTCTGGTGCGTCTTATAGAGCGAAAAATACGGGTATTCATCAGATGGATGTAGTCCTGACATTGAGTCACTGCACAGGATTCACTAAACGAAAAGGAAAACCCTTATACACTTCCCAATAGCTCATTGTGAGCCGTGCTGACTTTCTGTTATTCATTGAAGAAGAGAATCAGCATTTGTGCCTATATCCAAAGTTCTTTTCTGAAGTGGCCCTTATATTTTGCTGGCATAAAGGTTCTCTTGGCAACACTGTAAAGTGAGCAGGTGCTGCTGCTGATGTATACAGTGCCTGTAGGCTTTACACTGATGTAATGCTGGATCATCAAGCTCTTGTGCATTGCGCTTCTGTGAACTTGGGCTCTTCAGCCACTGTCCACCTCTCCCCAAAGTCTGCATCTGTGAACGGAGCAGCGTGGGGAGAATTGTGAGGCAGCTTCTGTGTAAACTGAAGGCACATCCTAAAATGAATCAGACACGCCATGGAAGCTGCAAATTGTAGGGAGATACAGGTGTTGATGCAAAACCCCAAGGTTCCTACAAGCAGTTTGAGAAGCACTAATCTAGTCAGCTAGTTCACAGACCCAGTTAAGGGGAAGCAAACAAGTGTTAAAGCATGAACTGTATAAGCAAAGATCTGTGAGAGCAAAAACCCTGAATTTAAGCCCAGGTGCAATTCTTTGCTATCTCAGAAACTGTAGCTTATACAAGTTTTACAGCTACTGTACATGTTTGCTATATGCCCAGAGTTAAGACACTGGCTCAGCAAACTACAAGTTAAGTATGAGTTGACATATGTAGCTTGTTTCTCCAAAATTTGGTTTATTTTCCAGCAGCTCTTGTCTTGTGCCTTTGTATCTTTGTGAGTATCTGGAGTTGAACAAGCCATGGTTTAAGGACGCATGATGGGGGTGCACATAATATTAAGCCACAGCTAAAACAAACAAAGTTTTCTAACCTGCAAAAACCAAGTCTTCAAATCCTAGTTTACTGGCAGTAAACAACCATAAAGCTGTTGCAGAGAGTTCACACATAGAACTAAGAAATGATTTCTTAAACTATGGCTTAGCATTATTTGTGAACCCACAGTGATGTATCTTTCTATATAAAAACAGTCAGCATTTCACTATTGGACTACCTTTCAGTAAATCATTAGAGAACAAAATAAAAGTGTCTTACCAAACCTCCTCCAATAATGGCCACTTTTTTCCTCTGCGGAGCTGAAAGATCCATGACTTTTTTCTCCAGGCAGAGTGCATGTATATCTCTCCTGCTCAACAGAAAATGTTTTAAGGGGAGGAGAAGTGGCAGTTCATTCAGGCTCTACAGCATAAATAGAATACTTCTGAACATTTGACAGGGAGCACTGAAGTGGGATTCACAGAACCTGCTGTTTCTTCCATCCCAAAAACTTCACATTGGTCAGTGTCAATCTAACCAATATTGAATACATTACTGAATATCACATGCTCTGTCAAAATCCTAGAGACCAACTTCTTCTATCCATCCCTGCTGATTAAGGATCTGGAAGCCTCCTGCAGAGTTGGACAAAAGGAAAACACTCTCCTACCTTTGAGACATGTTTCCCACTGTCTTTCCTGTTTGATCACTTACTCCCATTCCAGGCCACTAAAAGTAGCATGATGGTGGAGGAGGGAGGGGGGACCCATGGAAAGGAAGCACGTGGGTTTTAAGAAAACTGATTCTAAGTTCCCTAGGGTTGTGGAGTACCTTAGCTCCTGAGGCTGTTACTGCTGCAATGGAGAATGGGCTGCTGCAGTCTGGTCACATTGTCCCACCTGCACTCTGTCCTCAAAGGTGGTGCTGTGCCTGGGTCCAAAGGGCAGGTCAGCGATGGATGATGTAAATGAAGTTGACTCACTTTTCCTGATTGATCTGCTGTGTGTATGTTTGGATGGAGTTCTCTGTCAATGATTCACTTGCTATCCTTGGAACTAATCCATGTCTTATTTGGACTTTTTGGCATTCCTTAGAAGGTCTGGTGGCTGTGTGGCGTTCCCTTGAGTCATTGCTCTCTCACTCTCTCCCTTCCCTGAACTGGATTTTCCCTGTGCTCCACAAATTCAAAAATAAGGGCAAAAAGTGCTTCTAAGAGCTGGTGGGTGTATGATTCTCCTGTATGGAGCCTGGATTCCACCCCCACCCCGCAATAGGAGCCAACTCCTAGGGGCTGAGGTCCCTTCAGGGGAACCCCCCCATAAAATACTTGAGAGGGCACAAATTTGCATCAAATTTGCATACTTTGTGTCCTGCAAATTTGTGTCCTCTTTTACAGATAGTGGGTGATTATGAGAGATCCTGGCAGGGTTCACTACATGCAGGCCAAGCATCCACCTGGCCCTGGTCCACTGGTCCGCTCTCTTTGCCAAGCGATCTCACTTGCCTGGGAATTTGGCTGATTTCCCCGATATACTGTTGTTGTTTTATAGAATATTTGAATAGGCTGACATTTGTTATGATATGCTATATCTACTGTCACCATTAACATTTGATCTTAACTACTTGCTGGGTGCTGATGTAGACCTGCCCAGACAACAAGGGAAAATGCCCCGCAAAAGACACATGTAGGGGGCACATGTAAATAAATGTACCCTGGGGTTCATGGAGCAAAGTTTGTAGGTTCATGGAAAGACACCCCCCTTTTCCTTCGCAGCACAGACTCCACAGGTTTCCCTCATTAGCGCAATTCCCTTGTTAACCTATTGACAGTACCAGCAAACTGAATGGGGTTTCTTATCTCCACTATGGGGAATCGTTAGCAAAAACTCACTAAGGAAACTGCATTTGCCTTTTCTTCTTCTATATTCTTCCTACTTGAAGTAATTCCAATAAAACAATGTGATTTGAACATGATTCACCCACCCTGAATCTAAAAGTAGATCGCAAACCTGAACTTTTCTATATAGACTGTTGTTGTTGTCTAGTTGTTTAGTTGTGTCTGACTCTTTGTGACCCCTTGGACCAGAGCACGCCAGGCACTCCTGTCTTCCACTGCCTCCCGCAGTTTGGTCAAACTCATGTTAGCAGCTTTGAGAACACTGTCCAACCATCTCGTCCACAACAGTGTCTTTTCCAGAGAGTCTTCTCTTCTCATGAGCTGGCCAAAGTATTGGAGCCTAAGCTTCACGATCTGTCCTTCCAGTGAGCACTCAGGGCTGATTTCCTTAAGAATGGAGAGGTTTGATCTTCTTGCAGTCCGTGGGACTCTCAAGAGTCTCCTCCAGCACCAGAATTCAAAAGCATCAATTCTTCGGTGATCAGCCTTCTTTATGGTCCAGCTCTCACTTCCATACATCACTACTGGGAAAACCATAGCTCCTCTGAGTTATTCAAGCCCCTTCGCCATGACAAGGCAGTGATCCATGAAGGAGATATAGACTGTAGTATAGTTTAAAACCTATGTATAATGAAACCTTTGTATAATGATTGTATTCTTTGGATGTATGTAACCAATTGTGTAACCATAAATACAACATACTAGGAGAATGAAACAAATAGCTATGTATCAAAGATGCTAAAACTTTATTGAAGCAAACTGTAAATGGATACAACTCTTCCCTTAAGCAAACATTGCCCAATGTAATCTTCATTTACTGCATTCCTTCCTTATTTCAGGTCACAAGATTGTTGTCCGCTTGCCTTCCAAGAAGGGGTTCACCGCACTCTTAATCTCATTTCATGCTGTAAAGAAAAGACTCCTTGCTAAATAGTTCTCACCACACATCTGAATGCCAGTTGTAGCAGATCCACCGCTTACCACCAATTAATAAAGTAGCAGACTCACCCTGCTTACTGCCCCAATTAAATATTGCATGCACACCTCGTGGTAAGCCCCTTAAAGGAATTTCTACCTTTTACCACATTTCATCTTGCGGGGGTGGGTGTCTTTTGTGAAGGAAAACGTAGGGATTAGAGTCTTAGGCAGGAGTCGGTTAAACAAACAAGAAAAGTTTTATTAAAAAGGAGTTTGTGAAATAAAGTTGGTTCAGGAAAGGCATTCTTTCAAATAGAAGTTAACTTAAACTAAATATAAAGATGTCACTTGCTTCTAGAATAGGTGGTAAAAGGCTTAACTAAGTTTCTGCTAATTAGTTGTTACTGGTGTTACAGTCATACCTCGGGATGAATACGCTTCAAGTTAAGCATTTTTGGGCTGCACTCCGTGGCAACCAGGAAGTAACAGAGCACGTTACTTCTGGGTTTCGCCGCTCATGCATGCGCAGACGCTCAAAATGTGTCATGCGCATGCGCAGAAGCGGTGAATCACGACGCGCAGACGCGTGTTAAGTTCGCTTGAGGATGCGAATGGGGCTCCGGAATGGATCCCGTTCGCAATTCAGAGGTACCACTGTAAAATTAAGTAATTTTTGCACAGCACAACTTCCTTCACAGATTAATTCTTTGGTTCACAAGTGAGGGGCACTTTTCCTCAGTTCCCCTCTTTCTTAACAATCCCACTCCTGAGGTATTTGAATTAGTAAAGCAGACCCAGGGGATCCCCACACCCCTTGTGAATGGCTTGGGAGTCCTCTCTTTCTAGAAGAACCCTCCCCTCCTGACTGGAGTCCATATTACCACATCTTCTCCTTTTCCTGCTTCAGACTCAGCCTTCCAGGTAAGAAGAAGAAGAAGAGTTTGGATTTGATATCCCGCTTTATCACTACCCTAAGGAGTCTCAAAGCGGCTAACATTCTCCTTTCCCTTCCTCCCCCACAACAAACACTCTGGGAGGTGAGTGAGGCTGAGAGACTTCAGAGAGGTGTGACTAGCCCAAGGTCACCCAGCAGCTGCATGTGGAGGAGCGGCGAAGCGAACCCGGTTCCCCAGATTACGAGTCCACCGCTCTTAACCAATACACCACACTGGCTCTCAGTAACTCCTGTCTATCTTCCCCAGACCCTCAACTCAGTCTCCCTCTCTAAGTGGCAAGGCTCCTTCCTCTGGCTATGGATATTCTCCTCAGAGCAGATGCTCCAGTCAGATCTGAAACAGTTCTCCCTTGAACAAATCCTCTCCTAATCCCTTTCTCCCATCCCAAATCCAGCCCTGAAGGACTTATCTCCCTCAGAAACAGCTCCTCTTATTTTCTCTCCAAAAGTGCTGGCTCCACCCCCTCCCCTCTGGCTTGCTGTCTAGGGTATCCAATGGGAGAGAGGCTCCCGCCTTCTGGTGGAGTTTCTGAGGAAAAGCACCACCGGACTGGTCTGGCTCTGCTGTCTGTCACTCACACCAGTCTTCAATTCTATTGTTATTTCTAGAATCCTGCTATCAACTCCAGAGAAAACCCTCTTCCTGATTGTCATGCCTGTCAAATGCAAATGTATTTGCACGCTGCATCTTACCTTGCACCTGTGTACCTTTTGCAGCACCTCATTTCACGTGTAATATGACGAATCTATGACCTTATGCTGCCCAAAAACCTAAGCTAGAAGGCTCCCTGCTCATCTTTCAACAGGGTTCTTTGCTGCTCATCTGTAAGGACCCAGTTGCAACTAAGAATAAAAGATCAGAGCTTAAAGCTGCCTTGCTTCACTTTGATTGGGTACGATCAACCCACTCTTTCCAACCTCAATAGACCCACAAGGGGTCTCAAACCTCCCTTCGTATTTTTACAACAGTGCTGCTGAAATGTTTTATTATTTTTAACTTCTCTTTCATTGATTCACTGTTATTCACCCATGAATAACCCTGAGGCAAGATGCTTACCTCTGTGGGAAATTACAGGCCAGCTGAGTTTTCAGCCAGCTCTGAAATCTTTATTAATAATGTAAACAATGACCTTATTTCTGAAAAGCTAAAAGACTGGATCAGGAATAGTTAATAGTGAAGTGAGAAGTGAAGTGAAAGCATATGGAGTGATGTGTCAGTTGAATTGTCATCTGATGTGGTACCCAGAAGTGGACCCCATTGCTGGTGGGATTAAGGTGAGGATGTGGGCAGCTAAAGCATCTCTGGAGTAGATAGTTTAAGATGCAGGAAGGAGATCTCTACCCAGAACTGCCAGTTTCAGCCATTTACTGTCAGTGAAACAGCCAAGTACCCCCTTCTGGTGGGGTCAGAAAGATGATCCCAAACAATGTCAGTCAGATTGGACAGTTCTGAATTATGCACACTATCCCTGAACACCTACAGCTTCTTTCACCCATTTACCTTCTGATTTAATTATCCTCCCAGGAAAGGGGTGGGCCGCTTGCCACCCACTAGATGCCCGTGTCATTGCTCATAAGGCTGGCTGCTTTAGAAACGCCATAACTTTGATCATCATCTTAAGACTTATTATGACGTGGGCTCCTGGACTACGAGGCCAACTTCACATGGAGAGAAGGACCAAATATGAACACAGCAAGACTGTGTTCTGGTTACCTTTGCTAGTCAGGCACTGTAGAAGTCTACAAACCCGGGGGTAATCCAAGCAGTCCATTGGTAGGTACACTTGGAAGACAGAACAAGCCATTAGAAATATGCATTCATTGCAAGGAATTAATTTATACATGCATCCTTGCTTTATCATTTAGAAGGCATTTGTATGACACTTAAAAACTGCGGCATCCTATAGATGAGTTTGCAGAGGGCTGGGAGCTCATATGAGACCTGGTGCCTGCCTTGACAATTGAGCCAAAGTAGCCTGAATTGAGGGACGCAGGTGGCGCTGTGGGTAAAAGCCTCAGCGCCTAGGGCTTGCCGATCGAAAGGTCGGCGGTTCGAATCCCCGCGGCGGGGTGCGCTCCCGTTGTTCGGTCCCAGCGCCTGCCACCTAGCAGTTCGAAAGCACCCTCAGGTGCAAGTAGATAAATAGGGACCGCTTACTGGCGGGAAGGTAAACGGCGTTTCCGTGTGCGGCTCTGGCTCGCCAGAGCTGCGATGTCACGCTGGCCACGTGACCCGGAAGTGTCTCCGGACAGCGCTGGCCCCCGGCCCTCTTGAGTGAGATGGGCGCACAACCCTAGAGTCTGTCAAGACTGGCCCGTACGGGCAGGGGTACCTTTACCTTTACCTTTTTAGCCTGAATTGATTACTTTCTTAGTTCTCAAAGTAATGTTAGGTATTGTACAGGTCCCAGTTTTCGAAAGTCTCTGTTGATGAACATTTCGGTTTTTTAACTCTGTAAACCCGGAAGTAAGTGCTTCGGTTTTCGAACACGCCTCGGAAGTCGAACATACCACACGGCTTCCGCTGAGTGCAAGATCCTGAGAGCTAGCTGTCGGCTATTGAGTTTCAGTTTTCAAATGTTTCAGATCTTGAACGGTTTTCTGGGAATGGATTACATTCGAAAACCAAGGTACCGCTCTATCTTTGTGCCTCTGTTACAGCCAGTAACAATATTGAAATAAAACTGAATTGGGAATACTGCAAAAAACCAGCCGCCTTTCTAATGAAACCATGTTCCTAGCGTGGCAGCCTGTTGACTTACATATATTGACTTACACATACGCTGCAGATGTTGGGATGGGCAGGTGATGTAAATCAGATGGGAATCCTCCCAGTGGCGTGCCAAGGCCAGGTTGCATCACGGAAGGGCCCATGGAAAAGCCAAGCTGAGATGGGATGGCTGGCATCCCTGGAGGTGTGTAGTGGTGATGATGCACTGTTGGGGGTCGTGACTTCTCTGTTCTTACTAGAAGTGGAGCAGTCAGCTGCAGGTAGTTAAGAAAAGGAAGGTGTGTTACATTCACCCAGCTGTTGGGACAGGCAAGAATAAGGTTCTGATTCTGAAGCTGATCCAGTCTGTAGCTTTTTGGCTTAAGATCCCACTATGTTTTAGCCCCACAAACAATTTCAATAAACCACTGGCCTTTTTCCTCTGCAAGAAATGTCAGGTAAAATTATAATCTTTCTTGTTGCAAGGTATGCAGTATATTCCTCTTTCATGTTGTTGTGGTTTTTTTTGATCAAAGATCTTAGTAAAATCAATACTTCTGCATAGTAAGAAATGTTTTCCAAACAGTTGGTAGCTAATTTCTGCCTGTTTCAATAAAAGACACCTTGCTTGTCTTTTCTTCCATGCTTGGATTGGCAAGGGAGCAGAGCAAGTTGAACATTTAGAGGAGGGATGGGGAACCTCCAGCATCTGTGCCAAACCTAGCCTGCCAGGGGTTCAACTTTGACCTGTGAGGCAGTTTCCCCCAAACCATGCCCACCTGCCCCACACCTTAGATGTGGGGAAAGGACAGATGAAGCTGCCAGTGCACAACTGGGAGCCTTAAAGTGCACACCCAACTCCGCATAGGAAGGGAAAGCAGGATTCGGCTCTATTGCCTATCAGCTGATGGGTAGTAAAGCTAAAGTCTCCTGGAGTTTCCCCATGGAGAATTGACTCACACAGCAAGTGCCTACAGAAAGCAAACTTCAGTGCTACCAAACAGATGAGCAGTCTGAAGCCCAGGCGATTTAAAGCACTGTGCAAGGGGCTTACTTGGCCTGGAAGGCTGGGATCTGAGGAGGATTTGGCCTGCAGAGCCAAAAATGTTTTCCCCTCCTGCCTTAGAGATTAGCGTGGCTGCTCTACTAATCTCTGCCCAAATGCCCAGGAAAACAAAAGTCTTTGCTTAGTACCAAAATGATGACAATGTTGATGCCAGGTGGGTCTCCCTGGGAATAGCATTCCATAGATGGGGAGGCTACTACATAACTAACTACATAAAAGGCCTCTCCTTTCATCACAAACTTCTGGACCTCTTCTTGGACCTCCTCTTCTGGACCTCTTCTTGGAGGTGGCATGCAGAGAAGGGTCTCAGAGAATAATCTCAGGATCTGGGCAGGTTCATATGGGTAAAGGTGGTCCTTTATGTGTCAAGTCATGAGCTGCATATGGTTTTAAAGGTCAAAACCATCCCTTTCAATTCAGTATATAAACCAGGGGTACTCAACCTTTTTATACCTACCACCCACCAATGCATCTTTCTTGATGGTAAAATTTCCTTACCGCCCCCAAGTGCTCGATGGAAGGAGGATTCAGCTTGTGCCGTAGAACCCCTTGCCGCCCACCTAGAATCCTGAAACGCCCACCAGTGGGCGGGAGGGACCAGGTTGACAACTCCTGATATGAACAATTGACAGCCCGTGCTGCCAGGTCAGAACTTGTGCTATATGTTCATGCCTCTTTCAAAGAGGCACAAAGCACCTCCTTGGCACAGCCAGTGGTCCCCTCCCTGCTAAACGTTAGCATCTCAGCTCCAGGAGTTTCTGAATGAGATGGATTATCTAGATCCATTTCAATCTGGTTTTAGTCTGGATTTGGTAATAAAATCATGATGCCTTCCAAATTTCATACAATCGTAGAGTTGGAAGGAAACCCAAGGACTGTCTAGTCCAACCCCCTGCAATGAAGGAATCTCAGCTAGATCATACATGACAGGTGACTATTCAACCTCTGCTTCAAAACCTCCAAGGAAGGAAAATCCACTACCTTCCAAGAGAGACTGTTCCACTGTCAAACAGCTCTTACTATCAGAAAGTTATTCCTGATATTTAGTCAGAATCTCATTTCTTGGAACTTGCAGCCATTGCTTTGAGTCCTAGCCTCCAGAGCAAAAGAAAACAAACTTGCTCCATCTTCCATGTGACAGCCCTTTCAATATTTGAAGATGGTTATCCTATCACCTCTAAGTCTCCTCAATACAAATCTTTATTACGGTCATAAACCAGCATAAAAGGTCATTTAAAATCTGAAAAGCGTTTTGGAAAGCTAAAAGGTATTAAAACAGAAGGTGAATATAAAAGTCTATAAGAATTTAAAAGAAGCTAGAAGGCGGCATTGGGTGGGTGTGGAAGAGCATAAAAGGTTGATATATAAAAAGACTTTAGCTATTAATTTACAAAGCACTCTGATATGTTCATTAAATCTGGTTTGTGGCACAGGTTCTCCTCCGACGAATTTTGAGCACTGCTGTGCAGAATCTAGCAACAGTGTGTGTTGTAGCAGGATTGGTATCTGAGAGCAGCAGGGAGGTATAGAATTGCCCCTGGTGCTTAGGAAGTAGTGGGGAAATCAGGCTAATACGAGTGTCTCTGTAGTACAGGCACCATTTCTATTTGTCCCGAGTCACAGGGGCATTGTCTCTCCAGGTAGTCAATCTTCCTGTATCGACCTTCAATAATGGCAGAGGGGAGGGCATGACACAGAGCCAGGCTAAAAGCCCTTCGCTGTTTAGGAACTTTGAGTTTAGTTAGATATGCCATGGGGGGGGGGCAAAGTACCTGGTGGATTCCTTGGCAATAAAAGTTGGAGTCCTGGCTAGATCCAATTGGTGCTCTGTGTCTACTACGTGTTGCTTAATGAGTGCTTTAGCCTGATCATATCCCATGTTAAGTGGAAGACCTGGAGAGAAGCCCAGGGATGAGATTTTAGTTGCCACTGCCTGTTTCCACGTGGATTGAAAGTCATCGTTCATAGTTAGTGGGGCAAGGCCATGGGGAAAGAAAGATAGTGTAAGCCTATAATTGACTATGGTCACCCACACTCTAGCCTCCACTTTTGCGAAGCCTGTCTCTAGTCTTAGAGTAGCATTAGAGACACATTTTGGAACATGAAGGACTGACCTTAGAAATTTGGATTATACAAGTTCTAGTGGTGCAAATTGGAAAAGGGCCCAAGTGGGCACCATAGAAAAGTTGTGCTATTGGCTTGGCTTCAAATAATTTGACTCAGTCTCCTCTTTTCCAGATAACATTTAGTGTCTTTTAAAAACAAGTTTACCTGTTGTCCATGGTGAAGCACAGGAACTCCTTGCCCACCAGCTGGTGAATAAGCAGGTGGCGGCAGAGATTTCAACATCATGTTCTGCATAATAATCTGATGCATCTGTGCATTTTGCATTAGCATCATTTCCACCATATCTAGGAAAACATGAAGATCAGGATCAAGAGACAACACTCCGCTTACTATAGAGATCACAACAGAATGCTAGGGAGGAGCAGCCTTCATCTTTTCAGCTCAGAAGCCTTTGAATAAAACCAGCCCAGCAGCAGCTCTGTCTGTTTCCTTTGTATTCTAAACTATGAAAGATCAGCAATATAAGTAACTTGGAGTGATTATTTGCAAACTAGTAAACAGGAAGGAAGAAATAAAGAATTCTAGAATTCCTTCTATCTGTGGAATGGCACATACTGTGTAGTTGTAGACAACAGGTCTGCCAGAGGTTGGGATCATGCACCCAGTGTATATGCAAATGTGTGGCAAGCAGTGCTTTTTCTTTTTTAAGAAAAAAAGGTGCCAGTACTCACCATGAAGTTGTTACAGTAAGTGCCACACCTTTAGCTTTTTTTAAAAAAAGGTGCCAGTACTGTATACCTTTGCGTATCCCCAGGAAAAAAGCACTGGTGGCAAGACCAGTCGTTCACTATGCAGGAAAACAGGTATGAAGAGCTTTAACTGTATTTTCTTGTAACTGAAGTGTCAATCTATATGTGATGCTGAAAATCGATGAAGCATCTCCTGATCTTTTCTGCCCTCGTGGGAAACACCCCAAATATCAAATTTCCCCAACTTCCATACATAGGAAAGAAGCTAGGATGGATGATTCTGAAGGCAGCCCATCCCTTCTAGTCCAATAAAATTTAGACTGCCCCACCAGCTGCATAAAGGTTTTTTCAAAGTTGGGAGTTCCTTCAAGTATCTGCTATGTCACACCTGGTTTGGCCCTAGAAGTACATTCCTAAAATGGAGTAATTGGCAGAGGAGGAAAGGGACTAGCCATCAATCTCTTTCTGCTCATTAGGGGTAAATGGTAGAAGGTAAAGGACCCCTGGATGGTTAAGTCCAGTCAAAGACGACTATGGGGTGCAGGGCTAGTCTTGCTTCAGGCCAAGGGAGCTGGCATTTGTCCACAGACAGCTTTCCGGGTCATGTGGCCAGCATGACTAAACTGCTTCTGGCACAATGGGACCCTGTGACAGAAGTCAGAGTGCGTGGCAATGCCGTTTACCTACCCGCTGCAGCAGTACCTATTTATCTACTTGCACTGGTATGCTTTCGAACTGCTACACTGGCAGAAACTGGGGCACAGCAACGGAAGCTCACACCATCACATAGATTCGAACCACCAACCTCCCAACTGGCAAGCCCAAGGGGCTCAGTGGTTTAGACCACAGCATCACCCGCATCCTGTGTCATAGGGGTACCCAAAGAAAGACAGGAAGAGATCCTGGCTCTCCCCTTACTATGATTTGACTTTCCTACATACTTCAAGGGTTCACTCTCTGCTTTCCTTGCATGGAAGCATTCAGCAAAGTTTACATCTCCATTGTACTATAACACTCTGAAAATGTGGTGCAGTTAAATACAGTGGTGCCCCGCAAGACGAATGCCTTGCAAGACGAAAAACTCGCTAGACGAAAGGGTTTTCCGTTTTTTGAGTCGTTCCGCAAGACGAATTTCCCTATGGGCTTGCTTCAGAAACGTCTTGCAAGTTCTTGCGAGTTTGTTTCCTTTTTCTTAAAGCCGCTAAGCCGTTAATAACCGCTAAGCCGCTAATAGCCGCTAAGCCGTTAATAGCCGCTAAGCCGCTAATAGCCGTGCTTCGCAAGACGAAAAAAACGCAAGACGAAGAGACTCGCGGAACGGATTAATTTCGTCTTGCGAGGCACCACTGTAAACTCAGAAATAAATTTGGTTCTATGTGGGCTGCCAGCTTGCTTCAGTTTGTAGCAAGGCACACCTTAGTTCACGCAGGCATCTCTCCATGCTATGCTGTACATGCAGGAGGGATGATGTGAGATGGAAAAAACGCTAGGCAAATCTGAAAAGGGCCTCACAGCCTGTTTCCATGCCTCTTTACTCAAAAGTAAATCTCAATTCAGTGGCTCTTAATCCTAAGTATGCACAGGGTTGTAAGATGTGCTGTAATTCTCTGCACATTTAACCTACGTCTACCCAGAAAAAGTTTCCCCGTTTTCAATGCACCCAGAAAAAGTTACCCCATTTTCAATGCATATGGGATTGCCCACCTTCCTTAATACTGCCAGAGCGAGGGCCTGGGCAAGGCTGCGGAGATGGAATCTGGGTAATGAGCGGTGGTTGCTGAGGAATCTGCTGAATAATGGTTGCTGGCTGCTGAGGCAACTTGGAAAAGAAAGGAAGCAAAAACAAAATAATAACTGATCAAAGTGTAGCCAAAATCCTAGACTTTGATTAAATCCTGTCAGTACTCAATACACTAGGCAGCAAATACTGTAAACTGATACATATTTTGTGTTCAGTTCATTATTGGACTAATCAAGGATTATTATTTTTTACAGTTTCTTCTATGTCTGGTTTGCATGGCACATTAAATCACCATTAAACTTAGAGGCATCATCAACAACTGCTACAGAAGTTTGTCTTTTTCCAAGGATTCCTTTTTTGGTGTGTAGACAGAACAAAATTGGTGTATCTAAGTTACAACAAAACTGAGCCTCCCTCAACTTACACACATTTAACTTGTGTGCATTCAGGATTACATGTGTAGTTAAAAATTTTAAAAATCAAAAAGCAGTGGAAAGGGGGTGGGGTTCTAGAGAAACAACTTGGCAATCCCACCCACCCTTGAACCCAGTGTGTTTTGACTAGCTTTGGGCATGATTCCCAGAATGTAATTGCCATGTAAATTGCAGGCTTGCTGTATTCATATTCTAGATTATTTCTGCAAGCATCAGTGTCTCCTAGAGCGGACATTGTTGGCCTTCACCTTGACCCATGGCCATGCTGGCGGTGGGAGTTGGAGTTCAACAATGGCGTACATGGGTTGCCAGTCTGTTTCCAGGCTTAATTCAAGGTACGCGTGCTAGCGTTTAAAGCCATAAAACTAAGCCCCCAAGTATCTTAAAGACTGCCTCATGTCCTATAGTCTCTCTCTCAGGTGTTAACTGACTTTGGGTGGTTTCCCCACCCTTAGAAGTTCAGGTGTGATGGCGGAAGAGGGCCTTCTCTGTGGTAAGTCCTTGGTTGTAGAACTCTCTCTCCAAAGAGATGTATCAGGCACCTTCACTGTTTAGCTTGCCTGACTCTGCTTTTGTCTAAGAGTGGGACTTGTCCTCTTACTTCAACACCTGGCAAAGAGTCATTTACAGCTAACAATTGCAGAACAACAGGATCCATTTTTGTGTAAAGCCACAATTATCTGATAGTTAAGGGGTTGGCCCAAAGAACAGGAGGATTATGCAACTACCAAAAAGGAATAAAACATTTTGTAGGTCCTATGTGAATGTTAGAATCCTATTTGTTGCCTCCTAGATATGGGTCCTGCAGGGATCCAGTAGTGTTAGCTATAGATACACTATCAGAAAGTACTTTCTCTCATACTTTTTATATTATATGTGAAAGCTATTACTATGTGTCAGCTTCAGGTAATCGGCTTCCCCCCCCCCCCCACCCGGCAGTAGATAAGCAGAACAAAGAGAAAGGAGTCTTCTTACCAGTTATAACCTTTAATGATCACAGTGAGAGAACAAAGAATCCATTTCCTAGGAATGGCGGTGCTCCCAATTAAGAGTTCCACCCCTTCCTCCCTAGTCACCCATGTCACTGTAACCTGAGCTCCTACCCTCTGTGCTTTCTGTCCTGCCACTTTATCAGCTCTTCTTGACCTTGGGGAGAGTGGATGAATGCTTTCCAGAGAGAGTGAATCTATTACCTCTCTCTCTTCCAGTCCTTCTTCTCCTAGCTGTTCCCCATCCAGTATTTCCAGCTTCTGCCTTCTGAACTATGTCCCTTTGCAAACCACTTTTCCAAATCTATACTGTGGTACTTGGGGTTACAAACTCCGCTAACCCGGAAGTAGTACATCGAGTTGAGAACTTTGCCCCAGGAATGAGAATGGAAATCGCTGCAGCGAAAGCGTACCTCAGGTTAAGAACGTTTTCGGATTAAGAATGGACCTCTGGAACAAATTAAGTTTGTAACCCAAGGTACCACTCTACAGTCCTCCAGCTCCTGGGAAGATTCAGGATCCTGATCAGGAGCAGGGGGAGGGGGAGGCTCCCACCATTCCTCCTCAGCATAGTCCCTGACACTCTGTTAGATAATCTGAAAGCGAAAAGTTTTTTAAAAATATTCTGCTATAGATTTCCCAAGCCAATTCTAAGTTTTACATTTACATTTTACATTTAGTTAGTTTTGACTCAAACAAAGTTGATCTAAATATTTCATGTGAAAAACTCCATTATTACACCTGTGCAAGTATGCTTTCACACGCACAGTGCTGGAGCTTTCATCTGTTAATAGGAATGATCAACACCAGGAAATTCGGGCCAGGAATTTAGACAGGATTATCCACTGCCAGGTTTCTGTTAATGAAAAAATGCATCATTCATCTCTGTATCCATCATTTGCAGTTCCAAACTGTATAGTTCTTTTTTATAATTAAAAAAGACGGGACCGCCTCTCCTGGTATGTCCCACAGAGGAACCTACGGTCTACAAATAAAAACATCCTGAAGGTCCCAGGCCACGGAGAGGTTAGGCTGGCCTCAACTAGAGCCAGGGCTTTTTCGGTTGTGGCTCTGATCTGGTGGAACGCTCTTGTCACAAGAGACTAGGACCCTGCGGGACCTGACATCTTTCCGCAGGGCCTGCAAGACAGAGCTTCCACCAGGCCTTTGGTCAGGGCGCAGCCTGACTCCCTCCTCTGGCAATCTGCACAAAATTTTGCTTAACGGTTGCCATCAATTTGATTTTAATTAATTTTTATAATGAAATGTTTTTAGAATGCTGGATTATTTGATTGTTTGATTGTTGTTAGCCGCCCTGAGCCCGGCTTCGGCTGGGGAGGGCGGGATATAAATAAAATTATTATTATTATTATTATTATTATTATTATTATTAGGCACTCACTGTCTGCTGGATAATCCGTGGCTGTTCAGGTGGAGGAGGAGGAGGAAGAGGAGGAGGAATTTGGTAGAAATGTTCTGGTTCTGGTCTGAAGTGCTTCCTCTGGAGTCTTGGCAAGCCACGTGGTAATGACAATTCTTCCAGAACATTTTGCTCCTGCAATACCAAATATATAAGCTTTCCTTAAGAGGAAAAATGAGTTATGTTGCATTTTTTCCTAATTCACAAACCTTGTTATGCCAAGTGTATCAGTGAGAAATGAAAAATTTAACTATTTACGAAAAATATTTAAATTTTTCATGACATAGGAGACCAGTGACTGCACTTCCCAATTCCATTAAACATTAAAGCTGGTATGAGAAATTCTGGATTTGACAGGAGCAATGACAGCATGGTGGGCCAACAATATCTGTGTCTACTGAGAGACACAAACCACTGAGATTTTACCCAATGCATGGAATGCCATCAAGAATGAGAAGCCCAATGGGTTTAACATAAGCCAAATGTGAAAAGCAAAACTAACTTATTCAAAGAAACAACATAGCTCAGGTCCAGTAAGCCCAGTAACTCTCACCAGTAGATCTTGCCCCAATGAGGCAGTTGTGAGGACTGAACATCCCAGTTCTTCCCACAGCTCCCTAAGATTCCTCTTGCCCTGCGTCCTTCCCAAGCAACCTCTCTGTCTTGTCTGTCTTTGCTCTGTCCTCTTCATACCTCTGTGGGTTCTGGGAGACCAGGGAGGAGGGAAACTAGTCATTGCAGGAAGGGGAGACCTCTGGCTTCTTCAGCAGCCTGCCTGGTCTCTGCCCCTTGCCTTCCCCCAGCCTCCTCCTCTGCCTCTGATTCTGGACTGCTCTCTGCCACAGCCTCTTCCTGCTCACTAAACCCTGTTGCCTCTTCAGCTTACACCTCCTCCTCCCAGTCTTCTCCCTCATCCCACCACCAGTCCCCTGGCTCTGAGCCTTCTTCCCTTGGGGGTCCCATCCACTCCTCCCACCACTCCTCTGCATCCAGCCAATCCATGGCAGGCAGTAGCAGAAGGAGACAAAGCTAACTTGAACCACATAAGTTTTAGTTAAGTTGAACTGCTGTACAGCTATGTGCTTTGCCCAGACTGCGGGGTAACATGTTGCCTGCCACCCCAGCCTCCAAGTAGTGAGAGATTCCAGGGGTTCCAGGCACTCACACAGGGTTCATGTTTCCTTTTGGGAATGAGGCACAGTGGAAACTGCAGTGTCTTTATATGTTTTATTTACACATACAGTGGTGCCTCGCAAGACGAAATTAATTCATTCCGCGAGTTTTGTCGTCTTGCGATTTTTTTCGTCTTGCGAAGCACAGTGTCCGAAAAGTTTGGAAAAGCTTCAAAAATCACCAAAGTCTTCAAAAACCTCAAAAAAGGCTACCACACCGCGTTTCTATGAGTTGCTCCTCGAAGTCAAGTCGCAACTGTATTAACGGTGTTAAGAAAAAGGAAACAAACTTGCAAGACGTTTCCGTCTTGCAAAGCAAGCCCATAGGGAAAATCGTCTTGCGAAGCAGCTCGAAAAACAAAAAACCCTTTCGTCTAGCGAGTTTTCCGTCTTGCGAGGCATTCGTCTTGCGAGGTACCACTGTATATACAACCTGAGCCTATGGTGGATGGGTTCACAGCATTGACATCCCAAGAAGGTCTTGTTTCTCCCATAGCCACAGCCTTGGATTCAAGCATAATTCAGTTACGGCTTTCTCTCTGCCTTTTCCAGCCAGCAACTTTTTTGCATCTAGCTCCTAGCTCACTCAACAGCAGACTCTCAACTCTGGCCTTTTGTCTTTCTAACTAACAGACAGTTTGGGAGGGAGGCCCCCCCTTCTCCCCTCCCCAGCACAGAGCTACTCCTTTGTTTCCTTAAGGACCCATCTTTAGCCAGCTATTACCAGGCTGGTCTGGCTATTCCATGCTGGATCCAAGAATTTTTCCCGCCAAAGAAAACTCATAACAGCATCCTTAGAGACTTCCAAGAGTTTAACAATGTGACCTTATATATATGTGTCTCCTCAGAAGCAAGTCTTTTCAAGTTCAATAGCACTTACTCTCAGGTACTCTCAGTTAGGACTGTAGCCTTCATGTGTTGGAAGAAACTTCATAGTACTGAATCATAGAAATGTAGGATTGTACAGATGGAAGGGACCCTGAGGGTCATCTAGTCCAACCCCCTGCTTGAAACGTACCCTGAGCTGCTGCAGAAGATCCTTTCTTCGTCTCAATGCACTTTGCAATGCATTGCCATGGCTGCCGTAATTCCCTGCAAAAACAGTTGGAAAGAGTCTGCCGTCTCCTTTAGTTTTACAATTTTCCAGTAATTTACAAAACAAAGGGGGATAGATAAAGGAGGGGGAAGAAGGCATTTAGTTGGTGGTTCATTTATGGATCCAATTCAAGGCACTCACGCTATTATTTAAAGCCCTAAATGATTCAGGCCCCAAATATCCTTCCCTACAGACCCTTCTGGGATTTCCACTACCCCCAGAAATTTGGGAAGCAGCAGCCTGGGAAAGGACCTCTGTTCTGGAATTCTCTACCCACAAAGGGGTGTCTGGCACCTTCATTGTGTCATTTTTGTCATATGCCTCTTAACCCTAGTTTTGACACCCAGGATGTGTGCTTTGGAACACACTCTATTCTCTTATGTTTTAACTATTTTTAGTATTGTATTTTAAAGTTGTTCTATCATGTCCTGGGACCACATGGTGAAGGTAAATAATCTAATAAATAATGATAATATAGGGTGGGTTTTCATTGCCTTCCTCACCATCAGAAGTCATATTGGCCCATGGATCTGCAGAGAATGGAATGCAAAGAAAGTTTGCCACAATCCACATCTATCCCATAGTAAATGTTGAGAAATCCTGTTTAATGCATTTCCCCTCAAACCAACATTACAAATTGATTCATATGGAGATATGAGTGAGCTTTAACTGCTTACTTGCTGCAGAAAAGGAAGATTCCAAATCATCGATGTTTTCACGTTCATTTTCTAGTTTCTGTGGATCAAAGCAGAATGAGGATTAACAAAAAATTCAGAACCTCAGCTTTGACTGTCCACAAGTAATTGAACATCACAAAACCTACAAAGATTTGTGCAATCTGTCCGCTGTGAAAGTGGGAGTTGTTAGCACTAGTTTATGTTGAGTCATAAAAAGGTAAAGGTAATGGACCCCTGACAGTTAAGTCCAGTTGTGATTGACTCTGAGGGTGCGGTGCTCATCTCGCTTTACTGGCTGAGGGAGCCGACGTTTGTCTGCAGTTTTTCCGGGTCATGTGGCCAGCATGACTAAGCCGCCTCTGGCAAAACCAGAGCAGCACGCAGAAATGCCATTTACCCTCCAGCCAGAGCGGTACCTATTTATCTACTTGCACTTTGACGTGCTTTCGAACTCCTAGGTTGGCAGGAGCTGGGACCGAACAACGGGAGCTCACCCCATCATGGGGATTCCAATCGCCAACCTTCTGATTGGCAAGCCAAGGCTCTGTGGTTTAACCCACAGCCTCACCCGCGTCCCCTGTTGAGTCATACTTAGTACTTAAAGAATGTTTTCACCAGAACAGGACCCCTCTCCTGTAGCTCCTTCTTGTCCTAAGACAGTTCTTTGCAGCGTGCTTGCATTCCTTCTTAGGATTTAAGTTTATTAGAGTGGTTAGAGTGCTGGCGTACGACCCCAGAGACCAGGTTCAAATCCCCAATGGGGAACTGTGGGCCAGTCACTGCCTAACCTACTTCACAGGGTTGTTGTGATAATAAAATGGAGAGGGGGAGCTCTGTAGAGAAAAGGTGGGGTATAAATGTATTGATAATTTATTTTCTATTATTTCATACAATTTTTATACTGCTGGATTGTAAAAAAACAACAACCCTTGTTTGCAAAAATACATTTAGATCTCACTTTTCCTCCAAGGAGCTCCAGGTGGCATACCTGGTTCTCCTCCTGCCTGCTTGATGCTCACAATCCTCTCAGGTGGGTGAGGTGGAGAGAGAGAAAATGACTGGCCCATCTTGGTCACCCACTGAGCTTTATGGCTGTGCTGGGATTTGAAGCCTGATCTCTGTGGTCCTATCCTATTCCAGCACTTCATCCACTAGACCAGAGCTTTCCCAACTTTTCATGGTGGTGACATGATTTTGACATGCATCATTTCACAACATAGTAATTCAGTTTCACTAGCAAACCAGAGGTTAAACCAACTCCTTTCCAGCTCTGGGAGGAGAGCGGGGAGCGTTTGTGTGACACACCTACGCACTGCAGCCGACACACTAACGTGTCGCGACACACAGTTTGGAAAGCTCAGCACTAGACTACCCTGGCTCTTTTCTGTGGCGTACAGTACATAAGGGAAATTCTTGAGTAACTTATGGGATTGTGTTAGGCCAGAAATTAGGTAGGTCTGGGAGGATGAGTGGGTGAGCATGGTTTTAGTAAGTTTAACATAGAAAAGGCTTTGAGAATGAAGGAAATGTGGGAGGGAAAATAGCTAAGACAAGGCCTATTTCAAAACATAAGCAAGTCTAAATATAACCAAGGAAGGTACCCCATGTTCAACTAGGCAGATATTAACTTTTATATTAGAAAGTTGGGAAGTTGATGCATCATGAATAAGGGTAGACTGTCAAAATATATTAAAAAATTGTCCAGTAGCACCTTAAGAGACCTGCACACTTCTTCAGATACACACACAATATGGACATCACATATTAGCTGTCAGGGTTTGTAAACTCCTTTGCTGATCAGCATGGATGGATACAGGACAAAAGAGTTAACTAGTTAAAAATCCCGCTTTGGATAGTTTTGCTTTGCCCACTACCAATTTAGTGCTAGTTTGCAAAAGCAATCGTGTTGGAAGTTATAACCTAGATATGACCTTAGAAAAATTACCTTACCTTCTCAAGGAGTTTGAGTTTGAGTCGAGTCATGTGATCAGCCACCTCCGAGTCTGTCATCCTGACAAAATTTCAGAGCAACAGGCTCTTCAAATCACAAGGACAGTAGTTTGTTTTTTAATGCGTGTTGCTTCTTTCTTCCTCCAGGCTCTTTGTCGAAATTTTCCATAAAGTCTCTGTGATAATTTCAGTCCCAAATTACAAAGGAAAACAGAATCCTTTCAAATACACAGTGTCTCTTGCAGTGTGCACAGCATGGTTACTAAGACATTGCTCTGCTTGAACAACACCAGCATTTTCTCAATGGTTACTGGCTTTCCCCATACAAAGTCACTAAGCCCAGCCCTGTGCGTTGCTAACATGCTCCTATGAATAACTCTGTTAAGCTCAGGTTACTCTGTAGCTGTTTGCATTGTCTGTGACCTAAACAAACTCAGGCACTAACCTGGTTCATATGAGGTTTGGTCAACTGAAAGGGAAAAAAAATCCAGTTGGGCGAGGCTGTTCTTGATTCTATCAAATCAAATGAGGGTGTCAAACCAAGCATTTCCTAACCATCACTTAAAAAGGTAAAGGTACCCCTGCCCGTACGGGCCAGTCTTGACAGACTCTAGGGTTGTGCGCCCATCTCACTCAAGAGGCCGGGGGCCAGCACTGTCCGGAGACACTTCCGGGTCACGTGGCCAGCGTGACATTGCTGCTCTGGCGAGCCAGAGCCGCACACGGAAACACCGTTTACCTTCCCGCTAGTAAGCGGTCCCTATTTATCTACTTGCACCCGGGGGTGCTTTCGAACTGCTAGGTTGGCAGGCGCTGGGACCGAACAACGGGAGCGCACCCCGCCGCGGGGATTCGAACCGCCGACCTTTCGATCGGCAAGCCCTAGGCGCTGAGGCTTTTACCCACAGCGCCACCCGCGTCCCTAACCATCACTTAAAAGTACCTTAATCTAGGCAAGCCTCAAGGAAAGCCCAAACAGAAACTGGATATTGAGATAGCTCAGTCGGAAGAGCATGAGACTCTTAATCTCAAGGGTCATGGGTTCGAGCCTAACGTTGGACATGAGATTCCTGCGCTGCAAGGGGTTGGACTAGATGACCCTCATGGTCCCTTCCAACTCCACAATTCTATGATTCTGTGCATTAGACCCACCAGATCTTTCACTTTGCCAGATCTCCCTCTTCCTTCAAATTTCCTTTTACATGAAGTCACTGTACAAATACAGGCAACACTTGTTTTGTGCGGGATTTCTGTTCCAGACCCCCACATGCGTCAGCAGAGCCTAAGTCCGTTCTGCCCATTTTCATGTCATCTTTACAACATTTTGGGGCTATTTCCAAGTTCGGTGCCATACGCATGTGCATGATTGCATATCATTCGGACGCACCTAAATTGGTCCTTGCCTGTACAGAGAAAATAATGCATACCTTTTGATTCATTAATTAATTGTTACAAACTGAATAAAATCAAACAGTAAAAGAGGCCCCAGCAGATTGTCTCGAGCTAGCTGGTTCCATCTGGCAATACAGGAGCGAGTATAGAACTTCACGCTTGCATAGAGTACAGTGGTACCTTGGTTCTCAAATGCCTTGGTTTGTGAACTTTTTCGGAAGCGAACATGCTCCGTTTTGAGTGTTATACTGACGATTTGAGTGCCATACTTCCATTTTGAGAGTTACACTGAGGTCTGTCTGTTTTTGCTATTTATTTTGCGTTTTGTTATTGCGGCTCGTTTTTTGTTTTTGTGACAGTACGGAACCCAGTTCAGCTACTGATTGACTGCAGTACATTGTTTATTGCTTTTATTTTATAGATCAATGGTCTCGTCAGATAGTAAAATTCATGTTAAATTGCTGTTTTAGGGTTGTTTTTAAAAGTCTGGAACAGATTAATCCATTTTGCATTACTTTCTATGGGAAAGCGCACCTTGGTTTTGGAACAGACTTCTGGAACAGATTAAGTTTGAGAACCAAGGTACCACTGTAGTGTTTTTGCACATGACATGAGGCTTAAATTTGCCTTTATAACTGTAGAATTCAGAAGACACACTGGTTAATTTGCTTTCTAAAAAATAAGATGCAATGTAGATTTTGAGCATGACATGTGAAAACAACTACAAATGGATTCAGAACTCAATGGGACTGAGTTTTAGGATTTATTTCAGTGCCCAGGTAAACAAAAAGGGTAAATGAGGTTATATACTTCTTGTATGATTCTAGGCATAGAATCATAGAGTTGGAATAGACCACAAGGGCCATCGAGTCCAACCCCCTGCCAAGCAGGAAACACCATCAGAGCACTCCTGACATATGGTTGTCAAGCCTCTGCTTAAAGACCTCCAAAGTAGGGGACTCCACCACACTCCTTGGCAGCAAATTCCACTGCTGAACAGCTCTTACTGTCAGGAAGTTCTTCCTAATGTTTAGGTGGAATCTTCTTTCTTGTAGTTTGGATCCATTGCTCCATGTCCGCTTCTCTGGAGCAGCAGAAAACCACCTTTCTCCCTCCTCTATGACATCCTTTTATATATTTGAACATGGCTATCATATCACCCCTTAACCTCCTCTTCTCCAGGCTAAACATGCCCAGCTCCCTTAGCCGTTCCTCATAAGGCATCGTTTCCAGACCTTTGACCATTTTGGTTGCCCTCCTCTGGACACGTTCCAGTTTGTCAGTGTCCTTCTTGAACTGTGGTGCCCAGAACTGGACACAGTACTCCAGGTGAGGTCTGACCAGAGCAGAATACAGTGGCACTATTACTTCCCTTGATCTAGATGCTATACTCCTATTGATGCAGCCCAGAATTGCATTGGCTTTTTTAGCTGCCGCGTCACACTGTTGGCTCATGTCAAGTTTGTGGTCAACCAAGACTCCTAGATCCTTTTCACATGTAGTGCTCTCAAGCCAGGTGTCACCCATCTTGTATTTGTGCCTCTCATTTTTTTTGCCCAAGTGCAATACTTTACATTTCTCGCTGTTAAAGTTCATCTTGTTTGTTTTGGCCCAGTTCTCTAATCTGTCAAGGTCATTTTGAAGTGTGATCCTGTCCTCTGGGGTGTTAGCCACCCCTCCCAGTTTGGTGTCATCTGCAAATTTGATCAGGATGCCCTTGAGTCCATCATCCAAGTCGTTGATAAAGATGTTGAATAAGACCGGGCCCAAGACAGAACCCTGTGGCACCCCACTAGTCACTCTTCTCAGGATGAAGAGGAACCATTGATGAGCACCCTTTGGCATGGGTCTAAACAGTTTTTCATTTGTCCTACCACTTCTCCTGGGAATACCGTTTTTTACCACTGAATCGGAACAAATGCCAATTCTTTGAAGTTTGTTACGATTCAGCAGTAAACAGGTTTCCCTGGGGGAAAGTGGCAGGACAAGAGGAAGTGTGAAAGGGCCCTTAGCTAAGATGAGTGCATACCGTATTTTTCGCTCCATAGGGTGCACCTAGTTTTTAGGGGTGAAATAAAGAAAAATTTATTCCCCCCCCCAAGCCCCAAAGAGCAAAGAAGCCAAGACAGCGAGCGGGACCCATCCTGCTGGCTGTCTTGGCTTCCTCTTTAGCCACACACCACCTCTCCAGCCATGAGAGGCTGCATGCGGCTTTGGCAGAAGCCAAGACACCGAGCGGGATGGATACCGCTCGCTGTCTTGGCTTCATTTTTAGCCGCGGGGCTGGGGCGGGGGAAGCTCAGGCTTCCCCCGACCCCAGCCCCCAAAACAGGTCCTGGAGCGGCGGCAAGATTGCGCGCAACCTCGCCACCGCTCCCGGAGCTTGCGGATAGGTGCCTGAAGCCCAGGGAGCACAGGAGTTGGCGCTGCGCTCTCCAGGCTTCAGGCTGCTATCCGCAAGCCTTCGGAGCACTCCGAAGGCTTGCGGATAGCTGCCTGAAGAGCGAGAGGGGTCTGTGCACACCGACCCCTCTCGCTCTCCAGGCTTCAGCAAAAGCCTGCATTCACTCCATAGGATGCACACACATTTCCCCTTCATTTTTGGAGGGGAAAAAGTGCATCCTATAGAGCAAAAAATATGGTATTTCAAATTTCCTGTGCGTGGCAACATCGCCTGAGGGCAGGAAGGGGGGGGGGGAGAGAGCCAAGCAGCAGGGCCAGCTCAAGACGTCCAACCCCCAGCCCTCCCTGCTGGTCTTGCCTGCATTTCTGCCAGCCCCGTTTCCACAACTGTACCCCCACTGCACTGCCAAAGTGGTGCTTGTGATGCAGCGAGGGCAACAAGGCTGTGTTGGTGGTGCAGGCGAAGAAGCCCCGGAGGGGCTGGCTGAGGTGCAGCCAAGGGGATGGGGCTGTCTGAAGCAAATGGCTTGCCTCCCTCCCAACACAGACAGGAAAGGGGGAGGAGACAAGTTCTGTTCAACCAGCCAAAGTGCAGGGTGGCGGAGGGGGGGAGATGGGGACACCACCACCACCACGTGTTATCGTGACAAAATCATAAGCAGGTTCAAACAGAAACAAAAGGCAGGTGGAAATTCCCGCTCTTCTCAACCTCATTTAGTGTAATAATAATAATAATAATCTAAAAGAAGTTTTCAAAAATTGCCCTGCGGTTTTTCTTAAAATAAAAAAGATGTTTTTATATTTAATCTCTTAGCTGCCTTGAGTCTCTGTCAGGGGAAAATAGTAAGTCTCCATGACACCCCCGGGGGGGGGGGCTCCGGCCATTCCGGGCCGAAAGAGACGACGGCGCCCGGCTCGGGCTCAGAGCTCGGAAAAGGCTCCTTCCATCCTCCGGAGAGGAGAAGCAGCCGCTGATTCCCCCGGCGGGGACTCGGGAGGACCAACCCGTCTGCCGCCTCACGGCTCGCCGCCCCGCCAGGATCGGGCCCGGGACAGCAGCCCCGCCCCCCGCGCGGTCACATGGGCGATCTGGGCGTCGCTTCCGGAGGAAAGGGCGGGACACAAAGTTGAATCGCAGTTAAAAAACACTACACGGCCGCGCATCCGAGGCCCCATTGGCTACTGGCGCTGCTAATCTGCCGTCAGCACGGGCGCCCGGCGGGCGGCGACAGCGGGTTAGCCGCCTCTCAGGGCTCGTCTCGCTATTGGACAGCGGAGTTTGGGGCGAGGCAGCCCATTGGCTGAAAGTTTTTTTTCCAGCTCCGACGGTTGCGCGGCCGTTGAAGCGGGCCTGAGAAGCAGCATCCTGAGGGGAGCAGCGGCCGGCCGTGGAAATGGAGCGAGAGGCCGGTGGCGGCGGTGGCGGCCCGGAGGTGTTTCTTTTCTCCGCTCGAGGGTCGGGGCTGCGCCGGCTGGGGCGCTTCTGGGGCTCCCGCGTTGCGGGGCGGCGGTGGCGGAGTTCCAGCGCCCGCCTCTCGCTGAGGCCAAGCGCCTCACAGCAGCCGACGGGCGGGCCGGAGGCTGGGCGCCCACAAGAGCCGCCGTCCGTCCCGCTTGGCGTTGTTGTGCGACTACAGTTCCCATGATTCCCGGCCCTGGGGCCGCGCTGGCTGACGGGAGTTGTAGTCCACCTTTCAGGAGCTCCGCGCAGAGCAGGTCCCGACCAGAGGGGGGAGGGGCGCCCCAGGTCCATCTCTCCTCTGCCCCCAGGAATGACTTGCGCACCTTTCTCCTTCAACCCGCCACTGCAGATTGTTGAAGGCTCTTCAGGCCCTCCTAATAAGCATTCCCTTAAGTCTCTGCAACAGTTCTGTCCTGCACCGATTTTTGTTTAAGCATTCTGAACAGATGGTGATGCATTCTTTAATTATACTTTAAGAAAGGTCTTTAATGATATTTTCTTCTCCCTAGGTTCATGAGCAAGAACATTATTGTGAGGAAGAAATCAAAGAGTTGCACACTAAATTAAAGGAGCAACAACAGTTGCTACAAAAAATGGAAGCGACACACAAAGAAGAGATGCAGCAAGCAGAGGTACAATATTAGCTACAGCAATAATTCAAAGGTCCTTTGCTGCTGCAAATACATATGAAATAGGTCATTTGAAATAAGTGAACACAGGGAAGATTATAAACTGAATTCTAAACCAATATTTAAAAAATATAATCTGTCAAATGTTCACAGTTATTTGCATATAGAATCAGAAATGCAGAGTTGTAAGGAAATGTGAGGATCAGCTGGTCCAACCTGCTGCAATTTAGGAATCTCAACTAAAGCATCCATGACAGATGGCCATCCAAACTTCCAATGAAGCAGAGTCAATCACTTTCCAAGGGATTCCATTCCAGTCTCCGGAGCAGGGGAAAACAAGCTTGCTCCATCTTCTATGTGACAATCCTTTAGTATTTGAAGATGGCTAGCATACCTCCTCTCAGTTTCCTCCTGTCCAGGCTAAACATATCCAACTGCCTCAACTGTTTCTCTTAAGGCTTGGTTTCTAGACCCTTGAACATCTTGGTTATCTGCCTCTGCATCCATTCCAGCTTATCAATATCCTTCTTAAAGTGAGGTCCCCAGAATTGGACACAAGACCCCAGGTGTGGTCCGACCAAGGTAGAATAGAGTGGTACTATGACTTCTCTTGATCGGGACACTATACTTCTGTTGATGCAGCCCAGAATAGCATTAGCTGGAGATGCTCCTTCAGGTATACTGGGCCGGCATTCCACTCTGCCTGGTTTCCTGTAACCTTACTTCTCACAGTGAGGGAACTGCCAGAAGGCCCTCAGTGCTGGACCTCAGTGTCCGGGCTGAACAGTGGGGGTGGAGACGCTCCTTCAGGTATACAGGGCCGAGGACATGTAGGGTTTTAAAGGTCAGCACCAACACTTTG